GGGAGATTATAACAAAGTATGTTATGAATATCCAAATGGCCCTTGGCAGAAAAAAAAGGCTCCCCACCCCTGACTTATACCAAATGCCTTTGTTGTAATCTGAATATATGATTACTCTTCCATTGTTCTGATATTTGTATGTTAAAATGAGACTAAATAATTTTGTTCCTGATTAAGCATTTAATTCTCCTATTTCTAGAATGTAGCTTTTGTTGACACCCCTACGGCTTTTTGCTGGACAACGAACCTGCAGCATTCCCTCTGCGCGGTGAGCATGCAGCTGACCTACAAAGTACAGCTGGAAAGCAGTACAGATAATCTTTTTAAATAAGAACTCTAGAGAAATGATTAACCCTTGCAGAGAGGCTACCCACACTGTAAGGGTTAAGTGCCATATTTGGTCTAGGGAGGGAAAGAAAAAAGTTACTCGCCTGATCCTCAGATCTGGCTCTCTCTTAGACCGGCCCCTGGAGCCTCTCTCTCCCTCCGCTGCATTGGTCTAAGGTCCCATAAATCATCACATTCTATATAGTGTATAGGACAGAGGGCACCAAGGGACATACCATCACTGCAGTGTAGGAGAGGCTGGAGGGAGCGCTGTCACAGCCGGCCAGCTCTGAGGACCTTCACTACTTTGTGTTCTGTTTCAAATGTCACTTTATGCAAATTAAATACCTCCTAAGACCTAATCTGTATGGACAGTATGGCATCTTGCAGATATGACAAGATCCACAGGTAGTGTAAACTCACCAGGAAGACTCAGAGTAGGAATCCAATGTAGTTTATGTTTTCTCAGCATTTCTTGCAAAGCATTTTGGAGGCAAAGCCTTATGACCCTCTAAAAGACTTCTGTACTCAACAAAAGTACTAATCTGGAGAGCATGGCGAGTGTTTAACTAGGGACTGTGGTAACTAGCGGTAAACAGGAATGGGGGTGGGGGGACAGGGAGCATACCAAAACATTAATAAACAAGCCCCTGCGCCACACACTTCTAGTCACCAACCTGGATCAAGGATACAGTCAGAAAAATCTGCTAGCCTGCTCTGGGCCAGTGACTCTAGATATAAATAAATACACCCATCTTTGTACTTGCTGAGATGTGCCTCAATCATTTACAAATGAGATCCCTTGGTAAACTGGACAACCAAAATAATTTGTTTTAAAGCCCATTTCCTCCTTTGTAAGTGATGAGCATTTATTGGGGTAATGTAGAGGTGCAGTGATGATGTATAAGTCTGTACATTTTCATGACTCACATTGCTGGCTTTCTTACATGTTCTTATGGACTTTTTAGCAGGCCTGAGTCTCACAATTTAAAAAAAATGTATCCACAGGAAACTCAAGTCTGACACTTGGCATCAGATTATAAAGCAACTGTCCCCCCTCTATGCGAGTCACTTTAACAATATCACTGCACACCAGTTCTGCCTTTCCAGGTCACAATTCACTGTCCAGGGGAGTTGCCACTATGACTATTAATGAATGGGGGGAGAGAGCTCAGAGAGTGTTAACATGCACAGATGGCTTGCAAAGAACAGGAGGCGGACATTTCAAAAAGGAGCTAAAGGTGGAGATGAAGAGGACAGAAAAAAAAAATCAGTTTCTGTGTTCATATACAGCAACTGCATATGCCTGCTTCATGTGTACTTAGTGTACATTGCTGGCAAAACACCTAGAGGTGGAAATGGGCTTGAAGCATGAGTAATTCCAGCATGCCAAGGACAGTTTAGGCACACCATGTAGTAGACAAAGAAGATTCACATTTGTAGGGAACAAAAGAATGCAGATTGTCATCTCTTTATATGTAATGAGCTAACTGCTATGATGTGCAGAGGAGGAGCTACAGAAACATGCTGCATGTTTAAATATTTCTGCATGTCATGGACTGTTATTGTCACATGGAACCCAAAAGCATAGGGATGCTTTTTGTTTTACAAAGCGAGGATTGTTACTCCTCCGAATCTTATGTGGACAATTAACAGATACACAATGCATTCAGAAAATGCATAAATGCACAAATGTACTATTACAGCATAACACTTTAATTAGCATTCAAATGATATAATAAATACACCAAGTCCATATTTACAACCCTTTATCAATATCCCCACAACGGAACAATAAGATTCAGTGGAGCTGAAAAGAACTATTGCCATTAGCTTCATTCTAGGCAGGTCACACTACATTGCACCCCCAGCAAAGATAAGTTCAAGTGCAGCCTGGATGTCTCCTCCAGTAGCCTGTAAAGCCCTCAGACTAAGCTCCTCATCCCGGATACCCATATCCCGCAGCTGTTGAAGCTGAGGCTGCCATTGGCTCTGAAAGACAGAATAAAAGCACAATGCACTACAAAAGAAGGACAAAGCACCCATGTCTATATTTAAATCATTTCACCTGCATCCCCTCCCAGACTAGTTCAGGTGCAGCTGAGCCCCCATAAAACTAAACTACTCGCTGCAGCTCAGAGACCCAACAAGCATTGTAGAACAGCTGTAGTACTGGAAGAACCTGAAGTTGAAATATAAAAAATTAGAGTCCAATGATTTGATGTTGCTGTAGCCATCTGACATGCAAATGTTTATTTATCATGAATCAAGATAAGTCACCAGCGCTCAATATGCAAGGTCACAGTGTTGCCTGCACATACCTGAAACATTGGCGTAACAGACCCATGTGATATCATTTTGCAATAAAAACAGCTTTATTTGCACATTGAGCTATTGAGTGCTGGGGAGTTATCTTTGAAATCCTGAAGGTTCTGCACAGCAAGTACCGTATTTTGCGGTCTATAAGACGCTCCGGACGATAGGACGCATGGCTTCTGTGACAGAAATTCTATGACAGAAATTCTGTCACAGAAGCTGCAGTTAGTGACTGCTGAGACAGGTGGCGCTGTCTCAGTAATCACACAGAGCAGACGAAGAACGTCGTTCTTCGTCTGCTCAATGGGCTCTATGGTGAGCTCCTATGTGGGATCGTGACGGGTCACAGTCCCGCAGAGGTACGGGGGACCCAGAAAACCTTGGCGGGGGGAGGACACTATCGCCGATGCCGCCGCCGCTCAATTTAATACAAGGGATCTACTTAGATCGCTTGTATTAAACGAACAGCGGCTCCCACTGTACATTCAGCTCTGCTTGTCAGGAGCAGGGCTGAATGTACAAAAAGAAACTCGCCCGGCGCCCGAAACTGCATGTCCCGGGTGTCGGGCGATAGGTATTCGCTCCATAAGACGCAGGCACATTTTCCCCCTCCTTTTGGGGGAAAAAAAGTGCGTCTTATGGAGCGAAAAATACGGTAACTACTTTGTTACCGCTGTCACACCGATGCACACATACCGCTGTCACACATACAAATACAATGCATTGTATTTGTATGTGGACAATCTGCCTTCCCATCCAAGGTGTAAGGTGTATGTACTTTGTCACACAACTTACCTGCTGGGCTGTCTGGCTGGAGGCCTGCAAAGCATGCTGGAGTGCTTGGCTGAACAAGTCATTCGTAATGGGTGTTCCTGACTGCACGCTTGATGACATTGGAGATGTCCCTGAAGAATGACCCTATAAAATAAACACATTCACCTCTATGTCATTTTTTTGTAGTAAAATGAAAGTTGAACAGATTAGACCTGGCTCTACAAAGCAGTGCGATCCTAGACATGCATTTCAATTAAAACTTAAAAAAAGTATGACAAGGTGCTAACCTGTGTTCCTGGTGTGGGCGTGTGGGAACTGCTTTCTGGGGTACTTGCAAGGGCTAAAGCTGTGGCCAGTTCACTTTGCGTGATGGGCCGAGGCCCTGAAGCTCCTGTATATCCAAGAGAAGCAGGACGGGGACCAGCAGTACTAGATGATCCAGAGCGAGAGGCCTAATGGAAAGGTGTGTGACGTAGAAACGAGTCATTTATACACAAGTCTCATTTGTAGATTGCTTCCTCAAAATCTAGAACAATGGCAGCCAGTCATTATCTTACCTGTGGAAATTCATCCTCTTCATCTGACAGACCATCAAACAAGAAACCACCTAACAGAATAAAGAAACATGGCAACATCAAACATAAGACACCGAGAAACAAAACAGAAGGAGTGTGCGATACAAGATACTGTAAGGAGAAGGCAATACAGCAGCAAGAAGGAGAAGAGGGAGAAAAGACTTTTCACAAAGCCCAGGACTTTCCTGGTAGTTCATACCTGGCATATGCAGGGTTGCAGGGGGCACAGTGTGGGCAGAACCATCTGGTGTAGGCAGTGAAGAAGCTCCACTTACTGAATGCAGAATTAGTATGATTGCATTTACTAGTGCAGGGTGCGAGGCCACTAGCCTGAAAACAAATATTGTAAATGCCGTGTATTAAAAGTAAATTGGAGGTATTTTTTTTATTATAGTATGCGAACACACAAATTTTTTTTTTCACTTTAGACAATTCTAATTTCTTGTGTCTTTATTGAACACACCCATTAAACATTTACAGTGCTGAAGGAAAAAGTAAGGGAACCCACAGACTAATTACTTCAACGAAAGCTAATTGGAGTCAGTAGCTTGCACACCTGGAGTCCAATCAATGATACGAGTTTGGAGGTGTGCTTTATAGTTACTTTGATTCATAAAAGACACTCAAACATTTTAAAAATGCTTTTCATAAGCGGCATCAACTGATGTGAACCATGCCTCGCAAAAAAGGAGCTCTCTGAAGACATACGATCAAGAGTAGTTGATCTGCATAAGGCTGGAAAGGGATAAAAAGCAATCAAGTGTTTTAGGCATCCATCAGTCGCCAGTTAGACAAATTGCCTATAAAATGGAGAGTTTAGTACTGTGGCTACTCTTACTAGAAGTGGGCACCCAGCCAAGACGACTCCCAAGGCACAATTCTCATTGAGGTAAAAGAAGAACCCACGAGTTACAGCTAAAGGCATGAAGACATCACTGGAACTGCAAACATCCTTGTTCATGAGTCTATCATACGTAAGTATTTGAAGAGGCAGGGTGCCCTTGGCAGAACACCACGGTGGGAGTCACTGAAAATACATTTCTGTGCGTCTAAGGTTTGCCAAAGGGCACCTTGACAAACCACAACACTACTGGGAAAATGTTTTGTGGACTGATGAAACAAAAGTTGAATTGTTCGGGAGGAATACTCAGCACTATGCATGGCGCAAAAAGGGCAAAGCTTACCAACATCAAAACATCATCCCAACAGTGAAGTATGGTGCATGGATTGCCATGATTTGGGCTTGCTTTGCTGCCTCTGGGCCTGGGCCACTTGCATCATCAAGAGGAAAATTATATCCCAAGTTTACAAAAATATTCTACAGGATAATGTCAGTGTGACTGTCCGCCAGCTGAAGCTTAGTAGAAGTTGGATGATGCAGCAGGACAATGACTGCAAGCATTGATGTAAATCCACCACAGTCTAGCTTCAGAAAAATAAAACAAATGCACCTTTTGGAGTGGCCCAGTCAGAGCCTGGACCTTAACCCCATGGAGATGCCGTGAAATGACCTCAAGAGAGCCCCTCACACCAGACATTCTACAAATACTGTATGTCTGAGCTGAAGCAGTTTTGTAAAGAGAAATGGTCAAAAACTCCTCCTGAACGCTGTGCAGGTCTGATCCAGAGCTATCAAAAGTACATTCTTCAATTATTTGCTGCCAAAGGAGGTTCAAGCAGCCATTAACACCAAGGGTTCACATACTTTTTCCTCCAGTACTGTGAATTTTTTATAGGCGTGTTCAATAAAGACGAGAAATTTGAATGGTTTGTGTTTAGTCAGCGTCAGCACATTGTGTTTGCCAATTGTTGTGACTTAGATGGGATCAGATCACATTTTATGGCAAATTGCTGCAGAAATACAGTTAATTTCAAGGGGTTCAAATACTTTTTCTTGCCACTTTAAAGAAATAAAAACACCCCCCACCACACACACATGTGCAACAGTGTGCACCATAATGCGTACAAACTGGTCTGCCTTATGCACATGCTCTGTGCGTTGTTACAACACATGGCAATGCTAGAGTTTTTTGTTTTAAATAACATTATTAATTCAACTGTGTATCAGCTCGTGGCAAAGCATTGTCATGTGTTGCAATACACTGCGTTGTAATTAAGTGTATGCCTGCATCATTTTATCACAACGCACACACGCCACTGCAGATCAGGCGTTACCATAACCCATACATTAAGGTGTGAGGCTGGCAGCAAAAGTTTAAAGTGTATGTAAGCCCAAAATCCATTTTACAGTATGTCTGCCATAATGCATCACTGTATACCGAGGCAAATCATTTTATGAAATCCTGCCAGTAACCACTATTCATGTTGCAGGCTGACAACCCCAATCTACTGCCTTGCAATTAGTAGCAGCGTTGTCAATCTACCAAGTGAGCTCCTCAGGTTGGCTGCATATTTGACAGCCAAATGGAAAAACTGAAGACGCACACACAGCAGGCTGACAACGCTCCTGCTAATTGCAAAGCAAAGTTGGATTTGCTAATGGCTAGCGGGGTCTAAACAAGATTCGTTGTTTTGACCGCAGTGACATGGAAAAAATTGAAAGAACTGGATGGAAAATGTTGTTCATACTGTAAAATGGCCCAACAGGAACATGTTCCACATGTCTAGGACTCCATTCAAGTAGAAGATCTAGATGAAATCTTTAAGGCCTTTCGAACAAAATTAGTTGATGGCAACATCAAATGCTCTGATTACGAAATTCTAACAGTGTATGGCTAGCTTTGCGGTTGTCAGGAAGTGCTGTTACTGGCAGGATATTCAGCTAAGACATTTTACAACACATTTACAAAAAACAGTTTGGTTAAGAAAACTGCAAACAGTAACACATGACACCAAAAGCATAAGAATAAAGCACCGCTCCTCCACGGCTTTAGCAGGGGAATAACAGCCGGCTGCTCGCTGGCAGGAGTTTGTCCTCACTCCAAATAGCTATACAGTAAAAGGAAGAATCCAGCCGCACTCTGACATGTTTCACCCAGTCCTGGACTTAGTCAAAAGGGTGACGAGTTTGGAGTAGGCAGGAGAAGTGAACAATCTAGGACAACATAGCTGAACTGGAAAGTGAGCTGAATTGGAGATTTTTTCCAGTTCAGCTATGATGTCCTAAATTGTTCACTTCTCCTGCCTTCTCCAAACTCTTCACCCTTTTGTGAATAAACCCATAGACATGACTCTATGATCTCTAGGACCAACTCCAGGATTGGGTGAAACATGTCAGAGACCTCAGGTAGCACTCTGTCACTGACGAATTTTCAATAAACTAATTCAGTGTGGAATGGAGTGCGGACAGAGTCTTCCTTTGCTATATACATGATATCAAACGGACTGAAAAAATTTTTTTGGCTTTACAAAGACTTTATCGATGACCCAGAAATACATAATAACAAAATAATAGTGAACTTCTATCTGCCTTGTATTTATGAATCAGTACTATAGTCCCCATGTATTTTGGTTGTAGAAATGAAACATTAACTCCACGGACAATTAAAAAAAAGGACTGTATGAGATATTACTATACATTTAACCAACTCCACGGACAATTAAAAAGGACTATATGAGATATTACTATAGATTTAACCAACTCCACGGACATATAAAAAAAGGACTATAGGAGATATTATTATACATTGAACCCAAAACATTACAATATTGAACATCTACTTACGTGTCCAGCATGCTGGGGTCAGTGAACACAGTGAACAAATCTTTATCCTGCAGAACCCCTGTAAGTGGAGATAAAGAGTTCTTCTTTAATCACTCTAATAAAAGCTATTCCAGAAAACATGTTAAAGCATTGAATACTATACACTTAGCACACAAATTGTACTAAAAATCACTCAAATTTACCCTAGACTGTGTAATAAGAACACACAACTCCATGACAAGAGTGACCTCTAGTGGCTGAAGTATTAAATGATATAATATATACTGTGACATCATCTCGTTACTCTAATCAGTTTGTTCATTTTTCCAATTTCCTCCAAAACTCACCCATAGCCACAGGATCAGAGCTCAGGCCTGGCGTAGCCACAACTATCTGCTCCAAGGACTCCCGACTCCCAAGTAACTTAAACACCTGAAGGACAAGAGACAGTACAGCGGTGGCAGTTTAGCTGCAGATGAACAGAAATAATGAAATGGGACAACACACCAGTCTTTTTCTACAGCATAATACCATATTTTCTGATAAGCCAGGGCAGTGAAATCATTCCATACTATATTGTTATAAATACAATGACATGCAAATAAAATATTCAAGTGTTTTTGTAAAATAACTCCACATATGACATGTATCCAGTCATACTACTATAATTGTCCTCATTGAGAACGTTGACCAAGAACCATCCATACCAGCCCTGCATAATTACATGTTCAAACAACTGAAGGGGACAACTCTTTATAATTGCAAGCAGCCTAGTGAAGAGAAATGTAACTGGCAACACAAAGAAAGCTCTATCCAAAGCAGGCTTATAACAGGAAACCTCTATTAGGCATTCAAGTAAACAACATTAACATGCTGTCACTTGAACACGAAAAGAAACATTAAAAATATAATATTAAATCATGGAGGAGAGTAAGTTTGAAAGTTAGTCATTCCAGATCTATAGTCTTGAGTAAGAAGAACATATGCCTCCAGCATCCAATGGATCTGTAATCAATAGTCCTAACATGTGCTGAAAGAAGAACTCCAGGAAAATAAAAAACGTACTCTTGCAGAGAGGCTACCCCGGCACTGCAAGGGTTAAGAGCTTGTTTTGTCTAGGGGGGCTCAAATAAAGCAGATATACTCTCCTGATGATGGGTGGCCTCACTGTGATGTGATTGCTTCAACAAACTTTCGGACTATTGATTACAGGACCATGGTGTGCTGGTGAAAAATGTTCTAATCTATGTACTGTCATCAGCCAACCTGCTGTCAGTTGCTACAGTACCCTCTCACACTAGGCCCTCTCCTGGAAAGTGTAAGGGAGGGTTATAACCCTTGTCATTTGTTTTCCCATCCATATCCCACTGGGGAGATTTCCCTTCAATTCCTGTCAGTTACCCATAATAGGAAGTGAGAATAAATCCCTCTAAACTGAGGGAAACCCTTTGTGGTCAGCAAAGTCATCAGAACTAGTGTCCCCATTGGAAGGTTTCACATCATTTCCTGATTTGATGGCAACCCAAATTGTGGGATTTTCTTTTACTTTCACTAATAACAGTCACCAGGACACACAGAGAGGGTGAATCTATCTAATGGGTACACAGACAGCTGTCAGAACTATTGAGGCTAAAAGAATTGAACAATAAGGCCTATACATGTTCTTCTACACATTATACCATGGCATCCTGAAAGCCATTTTGTACTGTCCAACAAATCGAAATGGAACTTAAAGTGACATTAAATCCTCAGATTTTTTAACATAAACCAATACTGTAATGTGTGCCCTGCTGTAATCCATGGTTGTTTCCCTTCTCTTTGCTGCTCTTCCTTTTAAATCCTTCTCTCTTTTCATGCTGGGGAGAACTTCCCTTTGCAGCTGAGTGCTTCTTCCTGTAGTGCTGGCTCAGGTCACCGGCGGAAGTGATGTCCTCCGTTCTTCATTGCGGGTCCCGGTAAGTATTTTATTGCCCGATGTACAGTACACTGTTCAGTACTGTACATCTGCAACACTATACAGTACTCTACTAATGCAGTACAGTATAGAGTTCCTCACTTAACAAACAATTCGTTTAACGACCTGGTCGTAGGAACGGAACTCGGTCGTTAAATGAGGAATACCTGTATTCTTACCATATTCAACCTATATTCATTATATATTGTGTGGTTATGCTTATTGAAACACATTAGCATATATTATTAGTTTGATGTGTGTATGTACGGGAGGACGCTAGTTTGTGTCCTCCCGTTACCCTAAGGAGAACTATGGGGAAAAACACTGACCCCATAGTTCTCTTTTAAGTACAAATAATTAGGTTGGGTATAATGTTGTATCTGTGAAGGGTTTTTAGTTATCCAATGTGTCAGCAAATTGCTTCTCAAATCTTATGTTGAAGTTTTTAAGAAAGGTCCAGGAGCTATTTCTAATCCAATATTGCCCTCTTCCACTAGTTACAGGGATCGTGTTAGAAAAGTAACGCCCCTCTGGCATCATAATTAAAAGGTAAAGATAAGCAAACCACGCTCACATTTTGGGGTGATAAAAAGTTAGGAAAAGAGTATACAAAAAATGTAGACACTGAAAAAGTGGAACATACAAACGAGAGGTGGAGATCTGAAACTGATGGACGGGCTGACCAGGGGAACTGTATCAAAGAGAACCTGAACATCTCGATTCTAAAACTAACCCGAAGCCGACATCTCTCAGACAAAAGATATTGCAATTTTTGGTAAAGTATACATTTCTATTTATCTGTAGGCAATTGAATAACCATTATACATCTGACTAGACCATTTATTTCTTGTAGCATTGAGATTTGAATTGAGAGAATTCTAGCTGCAGTATGAATGGTCTCTTTTCCAATCTTGGGAGAGATATACTTAGAAGTACAATCTCCTTGAAGCTGATTTCAGTTTCTAGTTAATGGTGCAGTTGTGATGTATACTTAAAACAATTTAGTGAAAGTTTGTCATTGCCTTAAATATATTCTTGGCTTATAGCCAGTTCTGTGCATGATATAACAAGTTAGTTCTTGCGCAGTATAAATTGAGCTGGTGGATATCTGTTGCCTGAGAGAGGTCACGTGTCAAATCTGCATATTATATTACTACATTCTGCTGAGCTAATCATAAGCTACTAATTGCATTCCAGGAGTTACTTCATTTTGTTTCATTTATATCTAAAATAATATCCAGTGGTTTTATTTTTCTCATTATCTGTGTTGATCAATATTATTGAAACTTTGATCCAATTGATTTCTTGTTTATCACCAATTATATCTTGATTATAATTTTGCACTGATTTTAGTTAATATATATTTTTGCACACTATACTCATTATGTGTTCAGGTTAGCGCAAATAAACAAACTTGAGTTATTTTTGTTGATTTGTGGAAATAAGGTGGGAATCTCCTTAATTACAGATCCCGGCCTATTTTCTTAAATAGAAAATGGTTTATTATATCAGAGTAAACATTCTGAAACAGCAATAAAAACCTGACCGGTATTTTAATCCCTCTCCACGTCCAAAGAAGTTATCCAGATCCTAAACACATTTGAACCCATTGTAAAATTAAAATTGTACTTTTGTTCCAAAGACTTAATAGGGGAAATTTATCATAGCAATTGTGAGTGTGTGAACTCGCATATGGTCGCATGGGATATATTTGCGCCAGATTTATGTTGGTCATAAATGAGATTAAATAGACTCCAGGAGAAAAGACTCGCAACTCCAGGCAAAAAGTTTAAAAGGAGAATTATGGGGTTAGGGCTTTTCCCCATAGTTCTCCTTAGGGTAACGGAAGGACACAAACTAGCATCCTCCCGTCACCCTAAGCTCAGTATACCGCGAGCTGCAGCGGATCCTGACAATTATGTCTGGATCCGCCCAACTGCGTGAGTGACAGCTGGCTCTGACTATCTAGAGGCAGAGCCAGCTGTACCCGCCCCCTCCCCCGTCCGTTCCGCCAGTCAGCGCTGGAGGATCGGACAGGGGTAGGGGGAATCCAGCCCCTCCCCGTCACAGCAGAGAGCCGTGACAGGATCGAGAAGTGAGCGAGTGCCTCTGTGTTCGCTCACTTCCCGATCTACTGAGCCGACCTGTGACAGTCTCATTGTCACAGGTCGGCTAGAACTATGAGGTGAGTGGAAATCACTCACCTCATAGTTCTCCTTTAACTGTCGCTTCTTGAAGAAGTGGTCATGGGGACTTCTTAAGTAGCAATTGTTTTGTTAGGTTTTACTCCAGTTTGAGACAGCCACATGACAAGCGCAGATGTAAAGAGTTGCGAACCTTCGCAAAAAAACACGCAGTCGGGAACACGCAGGTTTGCACAGTAACAAAAATGATCCAAGAGGATAAAACTGTTGCAATTGCTTTGATAAATTCCCCCCAATATCTACCTATTAAAATCACTCAAGTACACTGCATGTGAGCACATCAATACTGAAGAAGCAGCAGGGGTCACAGAGGTCACAAAAGCGACCAAACACCAGGTCAACTGGAGGTGTCTTATGTGGACCTCTAAATTTCCTGTTAGCAACCAGAATATCATTTTATGGTTTGGGCTGCTTACATGATACACGCAGCAGCAAGTAGCTCCTTTCCAGGAGGGCATCAGCCACACAGGAGAGTCTTTCAGTAAGACATCCAATCAGAGCTCTCTAAACATGCTGATTAGAGTCTGCTAATGTGCTGCTAAAATGATGTGTGTCCAATCTAGAACTACTCCTAGGCTGCTTTCCACTCAGGTTACCTAGAAATATGTATCAGACTTGTGTATATCAGAGTCGCTTCCTTGGCTACAGAACTCTGACATGGAGCCCACAGGTACATTGCACCAAGCTTCCAGAAGCTCCCTAGATTTTGCGCAATTTCAAATATTGGCATGCTGTATCTTTATAAGACTAGCTGGGATTAGCAATCCCACAAAAAGGACTAGGTACACAACATGCCTTTTTTATAGAGAGACCTAGACCACCCAGGCCATTGGGCACAAAGCTGAGCTGTAGCCAATACTTACAGCATCACGGTAGCTAGAGCTGGTATGTAGAGCTGTGTGTAGAGCCCGGAACTCACGGCTAGCAGCTATCTTGTCTACAGGCTCTGTAAGAATGAAAAGGAATGGATACAAATGGGCATTTTATATATGTGTATTGGCTTGGCCAGCTGATTTGAAAAATGTTCCGGAGGGCTTGGCAGCGAAAGGGTTAAACTTAGAACAACTAAACCACAGCAACACAAATAACCTAACATAGAGTTACCCACCAGGCCGAGGAGCTGGTTCAGGCCATGCTCTCCGCAGGATGTGAACAGTACTTCCTGACTGAACACCATAAAACTCCAGGGTCTGATCATCTCTAAGACGCCGCCCGCAGTGGATCAGATCTGGGTAGAAACAGACAGAATATCGATGAAATCATAGCAAAATATACACTGCTGCAACTCAATAACACTGCCCTGCAACTCTTCCAAAGAAATACAGATTAATAGGAGTAATATATGAAGGAAACGTGTACTGGAAGATATACACTGAGTGGCCAGATTATTATGACCACCCCATCAGTACTTCATTGGGCCACGAGATGACTCCACGAGATGACTTTGTTGGGCCTTGTGACTCCACAAGATGTTAAAAGGTGATGCGAGGAATCTGACACTGCACTGTTGCCCTTCTGTTGTCTTGTACCAGTCTTGCCACTCTCCGTTCTGCCCTAACATTGACTAGTCGCTGACGGCCACAATTCGCACGTTCAGACCCAGATTTTCGGCTGACAGTCCAGTCTTTAAACACTTTAACAACTGCTCTTGAACAATTAATGAATTCTGCTGTTTTGCTGAGGTCTCTGTAAAGCCAGCCATACACCTATAGAGTATCTGCAGATTTTCTATGGTCAGATGGGAAAAGGTGCAACAGATTTCTCCAACTACGCTAAACTGTGTGGATGGAGGAATCTCCCACTGGGCCAAGCTTCCGTATCTTGCTAGTCGGTCCTGCTGGCTGTCAAAATACCTGAACAATCTGATTGGATGTAGGCATCGTTCAGGTATTTTGAGAGTCAGCGAGGCCGACTAGCAAGATACGGAAGCTTGGCCCAGTGGGAGATTCCTCCACACAGTTTAGCGTAGATGGAGTAATCTGTTGCACTTTTTCCGACCATAGAAAATCTGCAGATAATCTATAGGTGTATGGCCAGCTTAACTGAGCCCCAGATAGTAGTAATAACCCAACAGGTATTCTAACCCTGCCTCACTCAATCCAAAACTAAATAGTCTGGGCTGGACATAACCTTTACGCTTTTTATATAATCTTCCTAAAGAACTTCACATTTATCTACTTCCAATTAACTGATCTTATGAGGCAGATCTAAGTCAGTAGCTTCCATGGTGCAATCACAAGTTCTCCTTTCCCTCTGTTTTTCAACCAGCGGACTTGGCTGTCTGTGTTGTGTAAGACAGCCAATCACTAGTGAAAAGGAGACAATATCACAGCCGCTCAATGAAATAATATCATATAATCCAGGGCTCGACAAATCCCAGGCGCCAGGTCGCCAATGCAACCAGAATTGTGCCCCGAAGCCTGGGCTTTTATCAGCACGTTCATTGTACCTTCGCCACTTTAAGATCTGCTGTTGCTGTGGGTTCTCCCCTGATCTGTAGTCACGTTGGCTCCCTGTCAGCCATTAGGTTTCTCTGCCACCTGAGCTTTCTGTGATAGAACACATCCCTGCCATCCCTATATACATGCCTGAAATCAGCCAATCAGCAGGGAGCAAAGCTAAAGTCTACATCAGCAAGTGACCATCAGGGAGAAGATGGCACATCTAAAAAGGGATCCCAGGGACGTGTTCTTCCATATAATACTTTAAAAAAGAATCCAAGGCTGAATGCTGTGATAACTACAGAAGAATGTCAGCCCCTGCCCCCAAACTTCGGAGCATTGAGCTGCAGACAGACCCATAATTTGATTGAAAACTTTGAACTGCCTGTTGATCAGGAGGGAACCAAGGAAGGTATTACCTACGTACACTACACTTAAAAGGAGAACTATGAGGTGAGTGAAAATCACTCCTCATAGTTCGAGCCGACATGCGACAATGAAACTGTCACAGGTCGGCTCAATATATCGGGAAGTGAGCGAACACATACTGTCGCTCGCTTCTCGATCATTTCCCTGCAGATGCTGACTGGAGGAACGGACAGGGGAGGGTACAGCTGGCTCTGCCTTTAGGTAGGCAGAGCCAGCTGTCACCCGCGCAGCTGGGTGGATCTCGGCAGTAATGTTGGGATCCGTCCTGTCTGCGGTGGTCTCAGTATACCGTGAGCTTTGGTCAAGCAAAACAAATAGCAAACACACTCATCAATTTGTTACCAGCTTTACAGCAGGGTGCACATGGAAGGGCCTTATACAGTACAACAGCAAAATGTTTCCCAGCACACTCACCAGCCAGCATGCAAAAAAACTAAACCTCTGTTTTTAACCTTAGCGGTGAGACAAGTTTTTTTTGCATGCTGGCTGGTGAGTGTGCTGGGAAACTTTTTGCTGTTATACTGAGCTTAGGGTCACGGGAGGACGCTAGTATATCTCCTCCTGTGACCCTTAAGAGAACTATGGGGAAAACACTTACCCAATAATTCTCTTTTAAGCTTTAAAGGCTGATAGGTGGTAGATGGAAAATGTTAAGTGTGAAAGATATCCAGATTTAATATTTATCTGAACAAAAAGGAGATACAAAATGATACAGAACATTATAATTAAAAATAAATAACACTTTACATTCCCTTTGAGAAATAAATAAGTGTACACAAGGTAAATATGATGTATATTCCTCACCAATCAGCTCGGGATCAGGAAGTGACTCTGGCAGGGTGGCTGTGATAAGCTGTTTCACTACTGACACTCGATGACCACATGGAGAGTTCCCATCGCTCGTGGACTGGACCGGAAGGTGGACAATTGATTTTGGAGAGAGAGGCTGGTCAGCCAGCTGGACACATATATGGAGCTCCGACATGATCAGACTGTAAATGTATTCTAGCTGCCTAGGGAAACAGCATGCATGTTTTAATGATCAGAATAAAATGAGAGACAAATAATAAAAAACAGAGCAAAAAATCAGATATGAACAACACACAATCCAATCGTTAATGTTCACTGTTCTAACTTCAGCAACCTATATACAGTATGTGTGATTTAAAGCCCCATGCATGGGGCTGCTACAAAACTGCTGTTTATGACTCCAAGTTGAAAGTAATTCATCAAACCTTCTTTGTACCTGCTAATAATCCTCCTTAAAGTGACACTAAACTCAGGAGTTAGATCTTAAATATGCATTCAAGTACCCCATTACCAAAAATGTATCGTATTTGTGTATCACTCAGCTGTAGATCCTCAAATCATCTCTGAATTGGTGCTGGTGCTGTCCTTTTTTCTGGAGGGTGGCTCATTTTGTTCCCATGGTCCCCGTGTGTGTTGTAAAGTAGTCACCGCTCCAAGCTCACTGCTGCGATGGACTACAATCTCAATACAAATTAGCTATCTAAATGTGAGATTGTAGCCCATCCCGGGAGCGGTGGCTACTTTACAAAACACACAGGGACCATGGGGAACAAAAGTAGCCACCCTCCAGAAGGGTATTCTGACAGAAGCTGCAGGTGCCTGCTGTTAAAATACAACAGTTGGCCAGGGAGATCCCCAACCCTGCAGCTACAAGTCACAAAATGGTGGGGGATCTCTCTGCCGTAACCGATTGGGCCAGGAGGGTGGTGTGTCAGTCAAAGCTTATGCAGGCTTGGGCGAACTGTGGTGAACTGAATTCACATCACTAATCAGCAAAGTTCATCATCCCCCCCTTTTTGATGTGTGGGGCTCCTTGTGTGACCCTATGCCTTTAAGGAGGTTGGGCTACCTCCCTCCTTGCGAACCTGCACTCAATTCATCCTTTGCTATATATGTTCCCAGATGGAGACTCTCATAGATCAGAGTAAGGGCTAGTGATGGGCTCGGGCGTGTTCGCAGCTTCACGTGCCGAGCCCGCCAGGGAACTGACAGCGCCAATCACGGGTACCGAGACATTATCCCAGGCCGCAGCTGCAAAGAGGACCACACTATACAGAGGGGTCTGGACAAGGCAGTGCGGCTCCCACACATTTTGCAAAAGTTGCCCAGCTAAAACCTCTGTTTTTAACCTTAGTAGTTAGTGTGAGCTGGGATATGTCTGTTTCTGTACCACCACAATCTTACACCTCCCCCTGGATAGATATGGACTGACATAAGAAAGCACATACTTTCTCACACGGACACCCTGAGAACAATCTGTCAATCAAACCGTATGAAGGGAATTGATCAAAACTGGAGCAGACAGAATATGAAGCAGTTGCCCATGACAACCCATCAGCTTCTCTCTTCTGTTTGCTAAGTGAAGCTTTGCAAATGACAGAGAGAAGGTGTTGGGTTGCCCCGGACAACTGCTCCACATTTTGCTCCAGTTATCAATTCCCCTCTATGCGATTCCACAGCTGAAGAAACTCATAGGAATGACGCCAGGAGCCCTATAGACCTCAATTAAGGAACTATGCTGTGTTCTGGACAGAACAGAAAGACCCCAAAAAACCCAAAGCTCACCCTGAGAGCACCTACCTGTGCGCACTTCCTTTGTTTACGCTGCGCCCGGAAGTGACCCAACCAAACTACACTTCCCTTCATGCACTGAGCGGGCGCTGCAAACTGACGTCATATCCACTCGCTAACAGATTTGCTAAAACGAGGGTCGGTCTACAGGAAAATGGACACCGGATGTGTAGGCGGATCCTAGCTGTGGCACTATCATGTGGCCATCCACGTGACCAGAAACAGAGGCGGAGTCAGCAGGAAGCGGAAAACAATTAGCCTAGCTTGCGAAACAGATTCCTGTGCGGCTCTTTCGGTCTGATGTACCGCCCTATAGAACTACAGTCATTATTTAGCTTCCAAAAGCGTTATGCTGCACTAAAATATGATCATAATTTCTTCTCCAAAGTGGCGCTTCCTTATAATTGATTTTACAATACAAAGCTTCTACTGCCACCTAGTGGTAGCACACAAAGTTGCAGTTAAGTTAAAAAAATATATTTTCAAAGCAGCTCATCTTATCTTTGCTGCTACCTAGTGGTGACATCGTGTAATATCACTTTACCAAACCAATAAAATGGATGACTGAGAAGCCAGAGATTATGATGTCTATTCCTTTAAATCTTTTATTCATTAAATGTTTACTGAGGAGGGGGGATGTGGAAGCAGATATTTAAAGCTGAACTCCATTAAAAAATGTTTTGGGGGGCTATGGTACGGTTCACATAAGTTACCTCTAACTCCTTTGTTCTGCTGGTTACAGTAAAAAAACCAAACATGCATTAAGTGACACCAGAGACTCCCCACCGCTGTGATCTTCCAGTGCTGCAAGGATGAGATGCAGCTGTGACTGTGTCGGGATTGCACTACTCATCTTCCTGTCCCCTTGCCCATTCTCAAAACTCATTCAGGGGAATTTATCAAGACCAGAGCAGACAAAATCTGGAGCAGCTGTGCATGGAAGCCAATCAGCTTCTATTTTCTGTTTGTTCAGTTAAGATTTAAAAATGAAAGGTAGAAGCTGATTGGTTGCCATGCACAGCTGCTTCAGATTTTGTCTGCTACATATATTGATGAATTGCCCTCATTGTATTATTTTCCCAGAATGCAATATGATTTGATGGATGGAAGGATGGATAACAAGATCATCCTCGCCTATTCACAGAACGTCTTGCATGCCAGGAAATTGTGGAAGCCGCATCTCATCCCTGCAGCTGTGGGGAGAATCCAGCGTCACTGCAGCCAGCAGGACAATGTAGATCTTCATTAGAGGTAACTCATGTGACTGGTTCTGTAGCCACCAAACCTTTTTTTATTGGAGTTAAGCTTTAGGGAATTCTGTACGGAAACAAACATCAAGGCCAAAGGAAGAGTCCCATAAGGCATTGGAAGGCTTGCAGCCAAAGGCGTAACTTCCAGAGGCGAAGGCACGTTGGGATCTGTAGTTTCCCCGCAGCTGGAGTGACGAGGTTGCCTACCCCTGATCTAGGCTGCCATTGCTGATCTCGCCTTCAGAAAATGCTAGTTGCTGCCTAGCTGTCATGCAGATCGAAGAGCGTCAAAACTTTTTGTGGAAAGTGAATGCAGATGTGGATTTCCTGAAAGACATGCCAAGGTTGTACACTGTGCTGCACATGCACATGGCAGTTCATTATAGCCCGGCACCAAGACATGCTGACATTTTACATTGGAGTTGCCCATGCACGGCTACGCAGTACACTGTAAAGCAGTTTGCGAGCAGAAAGGTAAAAAGCAATTACTATATTGCAGAGGAGGCAAAGGCCTAATAAACTATTCTTTTTGGCACATATGTGATGCGTGCTCGACTTACAGAGAAAAATCGACAGTTCCATAGAGTGGAGCCACCCTAAGGCTGGGCACACACCTTACAACCATCGCAAGACTTCTGTCTTGCGATGGTTGTAAGGTACTTAAAAAAACGTACGATCTGCCTATGTTGCATAGGCAGATCGTACTTGCGATGATCGCAAGCCATGCCCCCCGAGGGGCGGGCTTCCGAAGACCGCAATGCCGAACGGGCAGTGTGCGCTTGCGCACACCGGCCCGTGCGGCTGTTATCGTACGGACATGCCACAAACCCGCCGAACATCGTACGATGCTTGGCGGGTTTTCGAACATGTCCGTAAGTTTAAAGTCGTGCGACCTTACAGTAGTAGAGGTCGCACGGCTTCCACACACCTTACGATCATCGTACGATCGCGGGATTTCCCACGATTCTCGTACGATAATCGTAAGGTGTGTGGGGACCCTAAGAGAGGAAGTGTGTAACTGGCTCGATCACCGGGTGACAATAAAGGAAAAAAAAGCGAATGCAGGCACCACATCTAAGAATTAGTAAGCTGCAATGTATTCAAATATTGCTTATGGGTTTTAGATAAGCTTTTAAAGAGTGAGACCAGCAAGAAAGTGGGTGTCCATGCCAACCTTATGATGTGCTCCTTGTGTTGTGTTCTCTATAAGTTAAAATAAATGAAAAAGTGTAATAGGGAGAGTGGACCCCCTTGTAAAGGATGTGGCAAATTATGAAACTACATACAATTACACATTAATACAGGAAAAATATTTGTTAGTGCATTGATTACTATTAGTATATGCTCATTGTCCTTTCTTTATAATGTTATGCCTATATATCATACCATCCACATAGCAATCCTTAAAGGTAAGCACTAGTTGACATTTAAAATTAAAGTATATCTTAACCCAAAGAAACAGAAATGCATTATATGGAGCCTTACCAATCCTTAGATGCGGTGGACACTTTAGTTTTCTTTTTTTCTTTCAGGTTTCCTTTTCTTTATTTTCACCTGGCAATCCTATGAATAACACACTTCCTGTCCCTGGGTTTCCATGTTCTCTCCTCCACTGTACCTATGGTGGGAACCATGGTTGTCACCCAAACGGGACGACAAACATGTCTTCCTTTGCTCACTTCATTACAAGGGGCTGGGAGATTAGTAGCTTACATACAGCATATAACATTATGGGGAATGCATAAACAGTGTCTACAACACTCCTTAGAATTTTGTCATGCATGCGCACAACAAATGTCGGTGCTTGCCCAAGATTCATGTACCTGTTAGAAACTAGTACATGAATCTAGCACAATCACCGACATTTGCGTTTTGGAGGTACACTGAGGCCAGAGTGCCCATACTGATGTTCCATTCTTAGTTCAGCTCAGTTTCACTGAGCCTGATAAAATAACAGGGTTGTCATTAACGAGCTCTCTGCTGGGCCACTGCACCTGTCCCACAAACAGACACAGCGACATAGGACTTATACAGTGGGTGGGCAGGTGGAGCATCATAGGGATGCTGAGGTACTAGTTTCCCATCAGGTCCTCTCTGCTGCTAATTGACAGCAGGCAGTGTGTGGATTCCATGGCGAATACCAGGCTGGCTATTGGCTATAGAATCCATCCACTTCCTGCTGTCAATCAGTGATAGAGTGGATCTAATGGGGAACTAGTACATTAGCATCCCTCTCAGACTCCAGCCACTTGTACTGTCACTGATTAACGATACTGTTGGTTATAGCCAACAGCTTCCTTAACAACCACTGATGCTGACAGTGTTGAGTATCTCCATCAGGCTCCACCCACTTGTAGCATCACTGGTTGTTAAGGACACTATTGGCTACGGTCACAGCTTTGTTAACCACCACCAATGTTGACAGCGGGGGTGGAGCCTGATGGGGATGCTACAGGTGACTAAAGTCAATGACCAGGAACCCTATTATTTTTTGCATTACAAAGCACCCCAACTTTCAAGCTTTCCACGTATCCTAAAGGGCATCAGAGACAAAGTGCAAGCACCTGGAGGTGCTTACTAACATTGCATTCCTCTACTTATTTCCCCCCACCAGCTTTGCACTGCCTTTGCAGACAGGCTAGTGCGTTATGGAACCGTCACTGTTTAAATCTTTTTAACTTTATGTGGAGTATACAATGTGTACACTCCATTTTGGTCTCCCCCACAGCAGCACACCCATGTTTGTATTTTATTGCAGTGCACCGCCCACCGCACTGTGGTGTGAATGAGACACATAGAAAACAATTGTTTTCTACGTGTCCTTGCAGTGACCTGCGTTGATCCAGTGTGGTACAACGCAGCTCACGGCAGTATATGTGAATGGGTCCTTAAAGTAAAACTTCAGACTAAACAAATACAAATTCAACTAATATAGTATCAATAACTGTCCCATTAGTGAACTTGTGTCCTCAGAGGAAATCCATAATTATGGACATTTCTTAGAGATCTGAATAAAATTATTCACATTACATAATATATAGTAAGTTAAAAATAGCCAATACAAGTATGGATTTGTTCAGCCAAAAGGGATTTGTTGTGTTCATGAAGACATCCTGTGTCAGCTTATCCTCCCAATTCATTATATTCCAGTTGAACTGGGATTGTTTTGTCAGTCTGGCAAGTCCAGTTTGCTGACAAGCTCGTGAAAAGCAGGAAACAGTAAAATCCAGTCAAAGCTCACACATTCCAGTACTGTGACCTATGAACAACCAAACCTCCACACTTCTGTCAGTGCAGAAACTGGGTCAAACAGCCACTTCTATTGCCTATGGTATGTAGGGTGATGGCTGCACACTGCCCTATACTCACTACTATTAACAGATCTCAGCATCACTGGTGATATCCAGATAGGATTAGGGTTAAGATGACTTAGAAAGTGCATTTGGGTGCAGTACAAATCTGCTAAGTGTTTGATATTACGCACAGATCTTTATTGTTAAAGTGTGTTTAAACTCTAACAATGAACATCTCCTTTTTGCTTCCTTTTGGTCTGCTAAATATATCTTTGACAGCATTTGGTTATGTAGGACTCCGAAAAACAAAAACTGCTTTGTTTATGGTATTAAGAGACGACATCATTTTCTAAGGCTGAGTTCACATGGGCAGCAGCCTCCATCGTCCTCTGAAAAGTGACCTAGGTGAATCCCTTATCACAGAACGGTGTTCAGGCTGTGTTACTGTGACTTCCTGAACGCAGGGGATTTTCTATTGCAATACTATGCTGCAACTACATAACCACATCCCATTCAATGCAATGATCACGTTTGCCAAGCTGCAATGTATACAACACTGTTTGGCCACAGTGCTGACATTGCAGCATGTGAGCAGAGGGGCTATAAAAGCGCAGATCAGATGCTTGGTTTAACCGCCCCCTTGGCGTCCGTGTGAACAAGACCCATTAGCAGCACAGTGGCTTATTGTGCAGCACTTCTCCTTTACAGCACTGGGGGTCCCTGTTTGAATCCCAGTCAGGACACTGTCTGTATGGAGTTTGCATGTTCTCCATGTGCTTGCACAGGTTTCCTCTGAGTATTCTGGTTTCCTCCTACACTCCAAAGACTTGCTGATAGGCTAACTGGCCCTGTATGTATGCATGTGAGATATGGACCTTAGATTGTAAGCTCCTTGAGGGCAGGGATTGGTGAAGTATGTAAAGTGCTACATAAATTGTCAGCACTATATGAAAACGAGTAATACATAAATTAGTTGATGGGGTCAAATCGATAATTGTTTTTGACTGTAGTGATGGGAAAAAAAATCAAAAAGTAGCAGAATGGAAAATATTTCCAGAATGAACGAAATGTATTTATTTATTTATTACAGGTATTTATATAGCGCCGACAATTTACGCATCGCTTTACATAGAACACAATCACATCAGTCCCTGCCCTCAAGGAGCTCACAATCTAAGGTCCCTATTTCACATACAGGGCCAATTTAGACAGGAGCCAATTAACCAACCAGCATGTCTTTGGAGTGTGGGAAGAAACCAGAGTACCCATATTCTAACTGAATATGGTTTTCATTCAAGAAACTTCATTCTTTCCAAAACTAAATGTTCTGTTTAAAACAGAATGTAATACTTCTCAACATGTTGGCAGGGAATAAAGGTTGCCTGGGACACAATGCTGCTTCTGTGGGCCATATTTATCACAACACTTATGTGAAAGCAAACTTATTTTGTGATGTAATGCTCTTGCCATCCACACAGACAAGGATTTGACTCCTCTGACCTTTTGTATGTGGCCATTCCTGCTCAGCAAGTTAAAGATGAGCTAGTGTATACCAGGGAAAAGAGATCGACGCTTAGGAATTGGAATGCTGATATGCCAGATCACTCAGACCATGTGGAAGTGCAGCATTCCTGAATGCGTATTGCTGGGGGTTGTGAAATATTTCAATACCAATGGATTGTATAAACTACATTTTGCCTAGGAAATATCACCTTATCAATTAACCTGACCAGCAGTGTATCGCAGATTAATGTATTCATCTTTACCAATAGCAAAACAGGAGCGTCACTAGTTTCACGCTGTATATGTTTTGCAGTCATTCGGCATTATGTCCTGGAGCTGGGGGCACAGACAAGTCTTTTTATGAGCCAGGTCCTGGACTAGCTTCTCTTCCATTATATTTATTAATGTCAACAAGCTCCTCATTTTCAATCTGCTTGCAGATCAGTTTCCCACTCATTAATTGGTGTAAAAGTAGGACAGAAGAGACAGGAGAGTGTGTGAACGTCATAAATAAATTGATAATTGCTGTGTGTTCTATACGGGCGTCCTTCAGGTCCCATTTACACTGTAGTTTCCAACAGTATTCCGCACCACATAGAACCTGCAGTATTCTTTTCAGTGGAGGAACTTTATATATTACTGCATTCCATTGCTAATGTATTTTCACTATTTATGATTTGTGTTGATAATAAAGATTTAAATCGGATCTCAAGCCTTACCTTCAGGGCCCATTCACACCACATCCAGATCATCTCCAGACCAGACCAGATTGTTTCCGGAACCAAAATGCATCCTAATGTATCCCTATTCTATTTCTGTCCTCTGTTCCCACCACCGCAGTCCGTTCCAGACCAGAAACATACTGCATGTCTCATTTTGTCTGGTCTAGAATGTACTGGAACTGCGTGCAGGTTCACACCATTTTCTGGACCAGATCTGGTTCCCAGAAAATGGTGTGAACCTATCCTCAGTCTTTCACAGCTGTACAGGCTCCTCTCCTGAAAATGCTTACTCTGATGTCACCGAGCTTCTCACAGTGTGCATTATAAGCAGCAATAAGTCAGACAAGAGTCTGCCTCATTGGACTTGCAGTATCATCTAGCCCTTTCTTCCCCAGTCAGACTGTCCCTGGCCTGTCCTTTCCATTCATTGGACTTCTTCAGTTCTTTCAGTCACCGAGGTTCAATATCACATGTGGGTGTTACTGAGCATGCTCTGCATGCAAATGCAACCTGCCTGCCTAGGAACACCAACTCTTGCAGGCATTTTCATAATTTGATATCTGCCTAGAACAACTGAACTTTACTTTCTTCATCAGCTCATCCCCACACAGTAACTACCTTTTGTATCACCAACCCTACCGTTTTAGATTCTAAGCTCTCACGAGCAGGGCCTTCCTAACCCTCTTGACTTGCACTGTATTGTAACTGTTCTGTCTCCCTTTATATTGCAAAGTGCTGCACAAACTACTGGCACCATATAAATACTATATAATAATAATAATAATGAGCCAGCCCACTGCTTACATCAGGGCTGAGGGCTCTTGGGAGGAGTACTTAGGCATGGTGCTGTAATTTTTTTTACGGAAGCTATGTACAGCACCCTACTCATCCCTCCCACCAGCCATGATCTGCCTGCATGGCTTAGAGAAGCATGAAGACCCAGTGGTGGCGTCATTGGGCCTAAATTATGGTACGTAATAAAAATAAAAATCCCATTAGCATATTAATGAGCGAAGGAGGCAGTAACCCGGGAAGGCAAAATATAAGTAGATAAAACATCAGCTCCTGTTTTTAAGAACATAAATACCACCAACAATCCCATAAAACAGGTTTATTAACACAGTAATAGTATGAACATCAGCATTTAAAGGGAAAAAGTACCACAAGAAAAATGAAGGAAAGGAGTCATGGGAGAAGTGTACCCGCTCCCATCATCTCCTACAGCAAAAGATGTAATGAGCAGTGGAGTTCTCCCTTATGCAGTGAGGCACTTAGGACCTTGATAGCACTAAATGCCTTATAGCACTGAAAGGTAAAGAATGACCCGCTACCCATCAGAGTAGGAATATGAAGCATCAAAGGACACTTCTGTCTTCATGTTGTATATATATAGGCATATATATATATATATTATATGAATTGTAACACTATGGGTGTGGTTCTTTATAGATACTGCATGTGTGGTTGTATATAAATATAAATATGGATTTATGGTATTAAAAGCATTCAGAATAAAACAATTCATATTAATACTATTTCTGGTAATCTCTCCCTGCACAGCCAGGCAGAAGTTTCATCTAGCATAGCAATTCACTGGTATATCCAAGCATGAGCTATACTGTGTACATTCCTATCTTGTTAGTGAGTGAGATAGTGGACCTGTGTACTTCCCTGGTGACTAAGCGTGTATCACCGGCAATGGGTGACGTATTATTGCAGAATGTGTGTGTGTGTTCATGTCAGTTATCAAGCAGGTTGGTAAATAAAGGTTGGTTTGCCTAGCATGACTCCAATACATTCGTGACAACTCATTTGTTTACTAGAGTCACAAAGCAATGCCAATAGCACTTATAGTGAACTGTAGAAAACAAAATAAATATGTAGGCAATCACAGCTTACCTCAAGTGCAAATGATTACAAATAAATTACATGAATGTCATTTGTGCGTTTACGACTGTTGCCAAGCTGTACCCTGAACAAAAGCTGTAGCAGCAAAGATCACTTCATGTTGCTGGCTTTGTATTGAACAGCAGTCCACTGGAGACATCGGAGCTTGTGGACTCTTTCTACATAAAGAATAGAAATTAATTTACTTAAAACATTTCTAATAATATGAATTTTGCATGTTACCGTGCTTCCCTGATAGAATACCACCTTAGAAAGGATTCCAAAATTGAAGTACAGGATTGACAATGAATTGGTTTCATGACTAAAGGGAGATTATGTATTATGTGCCGGAATTATTGAGCTGTTCTGCATTTTACATATGCTTATCGTTAGAGAGAATACTGAGAAGTTAGTAAATCTGAGAAAGTATTTGCTTCTATCTTTTTTGTGCAGTTATCTGCCTGACTGTGCAGGAAGGGAGTGGTATATAACACTGGACGTTCAAGCTTCTTAAACGGAGCCTTTGTGGGAATTCCCAGCTATTGCACACAGACCATGGAGGGTTTTGAACACAATGTCCCTCAGTTTTGTTCCAGTAGCCGTAGCGTCTGTGCCAGTCCCTGGGCTGTGCCGAATGCCAGGTACTGACAGCACAACCAGTCCTCTAGAGTCACTCCACCTTCTCTTTCAAGCGCTCGCTCTGCCAGCTTTATTAGTAGCAATGTCCTTTTCACTTCTAACCAGTTATGTAGAGATCCTGGTCCTTGCAGCACGTCATCCCGTGGCCCCCAAATTAAGCAGCGAAGTGCTGCCTTGGCTTGCCCAACCTGTAACCGATCTGAAGGGCTATGCTGCAAAAGAAGTCCTGCAAGTCGTCCTAGGCCACGTGAGTATGGAGAGCGACGTGGCACAGCTGGCAAATCACAAGGTCCATATTCCCGCTCCTTCAAGCCCCCATCTTGGAAGGGGTTAGCTAAGTGCAACATCTCATAAATGAGGATCCCAGTTTGGAACTCATCACTCCTTCTGTATTGTGCTGCTCCCACAATCTCCGGAGCCATCCGGGAAGGATCACCTAAGCCCTGTGGTCTCCATACACTTTGGCTCTTAAGCTTAGCCTGGCTAAAGTTGGTGAGGAGCAGTCGACCAGCACACGATGGAAAAGCTCTCTGTTCAGAAGGACCTTTGTCCTTGGGGTGCTCATTTTGCTCCTCTGTAGCAGACCTACGACAGCAGCTACACTTTGAATCACCAGGGCGGCAGCTAGCAAGTAAAAGGTTGTCTAATCGAAGGTCACAGTGTGTTATTCCCTGTGCTTTTAATTGCTCCAGTGCCCCACACAACTGAAGCAGTAGTAAGCACACCTGTCGTTCATACATCTCTGGATCCCTGCGGTGCTGGAACTCTCCCTCCCGCACAAAGTCTGCAAGTGTTTGTCTGGGGGGTTCTCGTGTAATCACCACCACCCTACTTCTCCGTTTACCCAGGGACCCTTGATTAGTAGAAGAAGAATGCTTCTTGTTTCTGTCTGGGGCCTCCTTTTTTCCTGTGGATGAATCTACAGTTTCTCCATTCTGTTCTTCATCCTCCTCTTCTTCTGATACATTCGGATCCTCCCAAGGCAGCAAGCGAGCTGGTACTTCGGCCAGAAATTGCCCACAATCCTGCTGGATGTTGAAATGTTCTGTGAGGCCTTGCCGTACTGCCAGGCAATGGTAATATTCCCTCTGGGCTTGCTTAGACTTGCTGCGGCAGATCTGGGAATAAAAACAATGCATGAAATTAAGAAAAAGCATTGGCAGCAAACTGCCTATCATCAGTGTAATTGAATATGGCTCCAGAACATGATGCTGTTTCATGATTCATTTATGGATATGTTAACTATAGTTTAAAAAATATGCAGCTATGAATACAAATTCATGCTTTATTTGGTTTCACAGAACAAAGAACCCCAGTTATTCTTATATCTGTACTAATTATCATGATTTGAAGCTAAAAAAACTGCATCGCAGGCCATAGCATAAAAAAAAGAAAGAAATTAAACATTGAAAATAGTAAAAAAGATTTCAATTTACTTTGATGCAGTAGTATGCTTTAGATCTTTGCTAAAAGCCCAACAGCTAAAAACACAGTTGAAATACATGTATGTGAACAGTTTTATCTGCTGAAAGATTTGCAATTCTTTTCCGCCATGTGATTCATGTAATGCTGTCACACTGCATAACCAGACAGGTGATACTTCTTCATGTATTACTTTAACTTCCTGCATTATCTGCCTGCCCACTGGTCCCGTATGGTGATGCCGATTGATTTCCAATGAGCAGAAAGGTAATAAAGGAAGCTGCAAAGATGAAATAGGAAACAGTGCTGTCCCCCTCTGATCATACAGTGTTGCAGAACCACAAGACTCGATGGAGTTGTTCAGGATCACCTAGATTTACCAGCAATAAGGAAGATATGCTTCTAGTAAAATGCATGTCAGAATGCAATGGACCAATAGGTAATGCTACAGATCACAGATTTGTGTATTATAGAAAGGATTTCTGATAAATACTACATTCAGTGGCCTTCTTCCTACTGTGTAATCTGCCACTACTCAAGTGGCAGAAGAATTCAACTAGTTCAGTACGATAAGGACTTTGTACTAGTCTGTTTATAGACAGCAGAAAAGTCATGCACTGGCTGGGCAGTGAAGCAAGCTCTAACTAGATCTACATTGGAGAATAATTACACTACTAGGAAGAGCTTAGAGAGTGCCAACTAATATGTATTTGTCTTCTGTTTAGAGGAATGTAATATGAGCGTAAACTGAATTACCTTTACAGCATAGAGATTCCCAGGGTCCTGAGCATATGATGCCCGGTAATATACAGCATCTCCAGCCTGGCAACAAGGTGTGGAACTAGCTAGTCGGAAATCCGGCCAACTCTCCAATCCAAAGTTGACTGGTTCTCTTTGTCCTGCCATGAAGATGTCCTCACAACGGGCAAAGAAGCGACGAAGGGCCTCAGCTTGTAGCTCTGCGATTCTTCCTCCTGAACTCTTGGGTCTTTCCATAGAATCTCCTGACTCATTTCCACCAACCTCCCAGCTGCGATCTGTGTCATAAGTGGGATTGGCCAGGCTCAGAACTGGCCCAGGTGTCTTGTCTGGTGTGCACTGGCGCGGTGTCATATTCTTCTTTGGAAGGGGAGGAGGAGTTGGGAGTGACTCTGGATCTTCAGGAGGGCTTCCACCACGAGTCTGCCGCGGTTGCTTGTATGGGATCATGTTTGCACGAGATTGACCTGTGAGAAGAAAATAGTAGACGTTAAGAAGCTCTGCCAATGTTTATCACCATTCTAGTGTTTATTATATTTCATTATAAAGAAACTAGCACAATAAACAACTCTATATTTACAGGTGAGATCCTAGTCTTGCATATTGTGTATATACACAATATACACAAACAAGACAACAGCTAACATCTACTATAATAACACTTAGAAACAGAAGTGGGCCCCATTCAATGAAGAAAAATGTATCCCACTAAACACAATAGCAACTTTGTCTAACATCAAAATGTAACAATTTTGTGGAATTGTTAATTATTTATACCACCAATGTTGGAAAAAAACACTCCAATTCATTGGTAGCACCTTTATGCAATAATACTCATAGTATTCATTGGAAGCATTCATTCTTGACAGTTTCTCTTAGAAGCAACAATTAACCAAGGAATAAAATGTTGCAGCTTACCAATTCTTAGAGGTAGTGACTGCATTAGCTCTCTTTTTGTAGTGTGATAACAGGGAAGGGCGGACCCTATTCTTTAGAGCAGTGGTTCTCAACCTGTATAACCTCAGGACACATATTTGTCCTTGGTCATTAAGTCGTGACCCAAGTTGCACCACACTGGAACACACAGCATTACAGTAGACGGGAGGTGTGTTTGGGATCCCATTCAAATGAATGGCAACTCAGTGCACCTCCCACACCAGAACGAACAGTAGGTGCAATTGCGTGGTAGTTTTTGATTAAAACACTGACAGACACACACAACCACAGACACAATCTCACACACTCACAGACATTCACACTCCCCAAAATATGTTAGGGGTTCAGTGTGGGCTGCTGTGCAGTGACAGAGCTCCATCCATAGGTGCATTGCTTGTACAGCTTCCTTGCACTCCTTGTAGATGTGCCGGGAGCCAGAATGTGACATCACTCCGGTCAGCCAAGGGAGCTGTATGGATGGAGCTCCCTTGCGGACATACCCCCAGCCACCCCACCCCAAGCTGACACTTGGCACCAGGCAGCATATTTTGAACTGACAGTGCTGCGCTATGGGAGAGGCTGAGGAGCCTTTCAAATACTGCACTGGAAGGCATGCAGCGACCCACTGAACATGGGGTCGCGACCCACTGAACATGGGGTCGCGACCCACTTTTGGGTCACGACCTACCAGTTGAGAACCATGGCTTTAGAGTATAGGCTCGAGCAATTACTAATCCACCCAGGAAATAGTGGCGGGAGAGGCAGAGAGCCCCTTGTGGGAGCTTCCAAGAAGGACAAAGAGGGAATCCGATTGCAAACAGAACAGAATCAAGGAAGGACAATATCGTGGTTGAGGTGGAAGGATGAAACCACCTGGGGCAGAAATGAGAGTTTAGGCCTCAGGACATCCTAATTCTTGTGTAACACAAGGTAGGGCTCTTCACATGATACGGCCACTAACTAAGAGGCTCGCCTTGCAAAGGCGGTGGCAACAAAGAAGGCAGCCTTGTGAGTAAAATCAGCTAAAGGCATATCTCTGATGGGTTCAAAGGGTGGCCTCTGGAGGGTGAACAGAACCAGGTTGAGATCCCACGTCATTAAAGGGGAGCATATAGAGAATTATGTGAGCTACACCCTCAACAAATGCCTTTACCAGGAAGTGAGAGGCTGAGATGGTGCTCAGGTCAAATTCTGATCCAGACCAGACTTGAGAAAGGGCAGGATACGTTCCACTGAGTACTTCAGGTGCAACCTCCAATCCTTAGACCAAGCAAAGTAAGCCTTCCAGGTGTAATGGTAGACTATGTGAAAGGTTGACTTTCTATCTTTCAGAAGAGTAGAGATGACCGCATCGGACAGACCCCTGGCCCTCAGGACCTGGGCTTCCACAAACAAGCCATTAAAGTGACTGAAAAGTTCTGACTGCAGGTAGAGATCATTACTGATCAAACAGGGGTCCTCAGGGAAGACACTGTTAATTCCTCCAGAGCCTTTGCTTTTGCAAAGAAATTTGCTTGTATATCAAGGCAACATTTTTCAGAAATGTTTGCTTGTCTTGCAAAACGCTCTCAAACCAAGTTACTTGTAAACCAAGGTATTACTGTAGTTAGTTCTCTTTTAAAACTAATCATTCAGTGTTCTGTAGTTGCTAGAGAATTGACTGACATTTTCTTCTATCTCAACACACACCTGGTGTGAACAATATGACAGGGTCCTACTCTCTTTGCTGCATCTTTTTTATAATATGGAGAATGCAAAAGGAGATTCTCGGACATGCAAAGGTGGGAAAGCGAAAAAGTTCCAGGTGGACAGAAAAAGTGACAGGTATAATAACATGGAAATCTCACTGTTGCAGTATACAAGACATATAAGTAGTCAAGAGATGTCTCTTGCACCATTTTCAACTTATAACTAAAATATTACTTCAGGAAGACTGACCCTATAAACTGGAACTCCAAATAAAACTTTTATTTTTTTTATTTGTATAGTGGGGAAGGATTTACATGTCTCCCTATCATCAGACAGAATTTCCCTCAACCCCAGATCCAGTGATGAGAAAATGAAGAAAAAAAGATTTTTTAGCAGAGTTCTGGGGAAGGAAGGGGGGCGGGGGGGTTTAGAACCGTTATCAGGTTTTTATTGACTGTCTGTATCCCCAAGCATTCTCGAGCAGATCACACAAAAAATAAAATGTGAAACAATTTGAATGGACTAGTTCACAAATTTGCAAAACATCAATCCTGAAATCATCAAAGAGGTATACACATGCTCTATATTCTTTGTGTATTTCTGCTCACCCTAGACAGCTATACATTTTCTGCCTAAACATCTTTGTTTTAAATTGTTTAAAAAGGGATGTGATCTATTGATAATGAACAGTGCAGATGTCTTTCATGTAAACCAATGCTATAAAAACAATTTTGTCTGCCAGACTTTGTTAGGCATATGAAAATTGGTTGATACACTGTAACTATCTCTCATTCCCTTGCTTGGGGGTTTTACTATGTTACTATAGAATTGCAGGCGATTCTCACCTAAGTTGCTGTAGGTGGCTCCACCTGGGCTACAGTCTGATGAGCTGTCAGAAGCAGCTCCTGGCTTTTCACAAAACAGAATATCAGCGTCGGCAGGTGTGGGTGAAGTGTCCGTCACAGTCTGATCACTTAAGGAAGGGGGTAATATGGGCGCTGAAGAAGGAGAGCCTTGAGCAGGCATATCTTCTGGGGTGCTGCAAAAAAAGATTGATGACAGCTGGTTAGTATTATATCTTCATATATCGTCAATCTCTACCGTTAATTAACATCCTCATTATATAAAACACACAAAAGCAACATAAACAGAAAGCATGGCAGTGAGAAAAAAAATGTAGCAATAAAACTGTAGATATACATAAATAGTTAAAGGAGGACATTTCGTAAGAATGTTGAAGCCGATATTTATGACGAGAAAATACCATTTAAAAATGCAGTCTCACCATGTCTTGCTGCTGACACAACTACCCATTTTCTAATCTGCAGTTCATGTGAGAAGTACTAATCAGTTTGTCCTGAGGTCTGACCTAACCTGTGTGTTTACCTGTAAAGGAGTGTCACCAGATACCCACCCCTCTGACAGCTCAGCACAGACACATACCACCCCCCTTCCTCCACCTCTGATAAGAAAATGGGGAGGAGGAAAAACAGTCGTTATACAGAATAGCAGCCAGGTAGCCAATATGCTTAAAACTGTATTGCCGGCACTTTTGTATTTGAACTTCCTCAACTGTTGTCAATAGAAGTTTGCTTCATTAAAGCAGCGGCAAAGGGTCAGAATAACTCCCGATTCTAATCTCAATTTGTCAATTCCTGCTCTATAATGGCAAAAAGTGATGGCATGAACACCCATGTTCGTAGAAAAACATACCTGTCCATGGAATAAAATATTTCAAACTATTTGGATGGCTACTGAAGTGGAATGTGAAAAAAGACATTTCCAGTAGTAGTAGAAACTGCAACTAAACAAGCAGAATAGCATAGCAGGGAAGAGGAAGGAGATGCATCATAAAAGGAAGTATGAGAGCACACTGACACGGTTATCTTGGCTGGAAACGGCCTGCACTATTTGGATTGTGGTGACTAATATTGCACGCAGACACTTCCACTATTCCCCAATGTCTGCACATTTTTGTAATATATAATCTTTTGCAAGTTTCACATGTCTACAGTCATACATAAAACAGCATACCATATAAGTAGAATGAACAAACACTTCTTACTACTTGGCAGTTGTGATGTCACGTGTCACCTCATATTTATATACAGTCATAAAACTCTTGTAACATAATATTCATCAACCTCATCATGTTACTGTATATACTGTGATGTGTCTGTTTTTAATGCTCTGTTCGAGACATATACCCTCACTTCCTGTCCTGGTGACAATGGAATCACCACACAAAAAGGAAGAGAAAAATGGGTAACGGGGACAAAGACAGCAATAAAAATGTTTCCAAGACAGTAATGTTCTAAATGACCTTGTTTCAGGGCAGGACAGAGAGATGGACGTACAATGTTCTGGTTAAAGCGTGGCTAAACTCAAAAGAAAAAATGGAACATATTGCAGCTTGACTATTCTTAGATGTGCTTGCTGCATTAACTTTCTTTTTTAAGCCTTTTCCTTTATTTTCACCTGGTGACCTAGCCAGTAAGTTGGTAAGGCCACCGTTCACATTGAGCGATTTATCGCGCGGTAATTCCAGCGATATCGCGGCTATTTACCGCGCGATATCGCTCTTCAATGCTTTGCAATGGGGCAAAGGGTCCTGCTGTCGCGGGTCGTGTGTCGCTACAGCAGGACCCTTTTTGGAGCGGATTTTGCCGCGATTCAATGGTTTTTGATGCAAGCATTTGCGCGATATCGCGCAAAATGCAAATCGCGCGACAAACGCACGATTTGCGAATCGCTCAATGTGAAAGGGGCCTAATTCTTCAACTTCCTTTACAATCTTAGGCCCCGTTCACATTAAGTGATTCGCAAATCGCGCGTTTGTCGTGCGATTTGCATTTCTGCGCGATATCGCGTGATTTGTCACGCGATATCGCGCAAATGCTTGCATCAAAAACCATTGAATCGCGGCAAAATCCGCTCCAAAAAGGGTCCTGCTGTAGCGACACACGACCCGCGACAGCAGGACCCTTTGCCCCATTGCAAAGCATTGAAGAGCGATATCGCGGGAATTACCGCGCGATAAATCGCTCAATGTGACCGGGGCCTTACTGTACAATCTCTTGCATTTTTTTTTAGCTGTGCTGGTTTTGTTAAAAAAAAATACTACAAATCAAAACTGGGAAAAAAAGTTTTTTTTTAAGTTTTTTCCTCTTTTTTTAATTTGTATTTGTCCTAAGTGAGGCGTTAGACACACATATGTGATATAAATATATAGCCCTATCTGTCCTCTAAAAAACAATATATAATATGTGTGGGTGCACTTTGTAAGAAAGTATATTACTGACGTGGAAGAATCACACAGCAAAAATGTCAAAAGTGTGTCAGTCATTTACGAACAGAAACCAAAAACAAGCTCAGTCATGAAGGGGTTAAGACTTACCAAAACTATGTAATATATGGACCTACCTAATCCATCCAAATCAATTTGAAATCCAGTCATTCAGGCCCTTGCACTACATAGTTGATGGTAGATATGAAGGTGATGTACAATCATCTGTACAATCAGATTGTAAGGTGTGTGGTGAGCTTAACAAACCAAGCTGCCCAACAAAAGTGGCAGTTAGATGGTTGAGAGAAACCTTTTAACAATGACCGGGGGACTTATAATGGTCAGCTTTTAATCATTTATGTAAAACATTTATCCCAAGAGGGAAAATATGTTACTGTAACTGCTTAAAAAGTGTTAGCTGGAGTTCTGCTGTAATTTGTTAGTCATGCCCATCTAAATTTGCAAGTGCATCTAAAGCTGCCCACACACCTGACGATTATCGTACGATAATCATCAGGTGTGTGGGCAGCGTGCGACCGCATATACTGTAAGGTCGCACGGCTTTCGTCTTACGAGCACGCTAGAAAACCTGACGAAAATCGTACGATTTTCGGCGGCCTGGTAGCGCGATCACAAGACGAAAGCCGCATGGGCCGAAAGTCGTGGGATGGTTGTAAGGTGTATGGCCACCTTAACACTAACCTCTCCACAGGTTAACAATGCTGCTGCCATAGAGTGGAGCCACCCTAAGACAGGAAGTGGGTTACTGACTGGATCACCAAGTTAAAATAATAACGGGGAAAAAACCTGAAAAAAAACCCAGAAAAACATTGCAGCCACCACATTTAAGGACTGATCATTTTAATATTACATTTTTGTTTTTGAGTTTAGGTACACTAAAGGGGGAAGAAAGAAACCACCTTAGTGAGAAAAGACAACCTTGTCTCTGTGGAGTTCTTCTCTGAAGGACAAGGTTTTCAACTCAGAAACACACCTTCCAGACGTGATAGCAATAAGAAAGGCCAACCTGTGAGTGAGAGCAGACAGAAGAATATATCTGATAGGAAATGTAAACCTATGTCTCAGAACCCTGGCCAACAGCCAAGCTGTCAAAGCCAGCAACCATGCAGCAGCCAGCAGGGTGGTAAACCAGTCCTTGGGACAAAAAAAATCTGGATGATATAGGAAAGGTCCACAGGGTGTCTACCAGTCTAATTAGGTTAGAGTATTACATTCACCTGGGCCATGAGAATCATCAGGATGCCTTCCATCTCCATTATGTGGAGAAGATGAGCAAGGAACATCAGAGGAGGGAGGGTCCAAATCACAATGAAATTATCCTACTGAATCACTAGGGCATCCACTGCAATGGCCAGAGGATCTCTGCATCTGGAGACAAACTTATCCAATCTGTTGTGGAATCTGGAAGCCAGGAGGTCCACAGGTGGTGTCACCCATCTGTGATGGAGGTCTTGCAACAACTCCTGGATGAAGAGTCCAGAGGTTGTTGACCGCGAAAGGGTCGCTGCACACCCATCTACATACGTTTTGACCCCAGGGTCCCGAGCGCAGCAGCTTTTATATATATTTTATATTTATAATATTTTAATAATATTTTATATTATTTAATTTTCCTTTTAAATTACTTATTCCATAAGCGCGGATTATATATATTTCATCGACCGCGAAAGACCGCCTGCCAATTGTCCACACTTGGAATGTGCATGGCAGACAAGACTGAATCCAGATAGGATGACCTTGCAGTTGAGAGGTCCAGCATTGAAAGAAAAACTGAATTGTTCATAGCTTCAGTATGTGGATCAGGAGACGAGCTTCCTCCTATGACCAAGTTCCCTGGTGACATCTGTCAGGCTTGCATCTGTCATGAGAATCTCTGGATTCATGAGCCACCAGGCCAGAGACAACCTGGTCTTGGGTGTTAGGCAAATCACCCAATCAAGAGACTGAGCATTATTGTCCCACGTATTCAGAATCCTGAATTGCAACAGTCTGAGGTGGAATTTGGCATATAGGACTGCCTCAAGGAGGCTACCGAGAACAAACAGAGAACTCTCATGCAGAAGTGGAGAGCTGGAAGGCTCCTGGACTGCAGAGTCTGAACATGGGAGCGATAAGATAGGAGTTTGTCCTGCAGATTGGACTGAGCAGTATTTAAAATAGGCTACCATCAAACAGAGAACTTTAATGGAAAAGTGGAGAGCTGGAAGGCTGCTGGACTGCAGAGTCTGAACATGGCAGCAAAAAGACAGGAGTTTGTCCTGTAGACTGGATTGAGCAGTATCTAGAGGTAGAACTAGATGAGTCAGTGTCAGCACAGTCTGAACAGTCTTTTGGACATTGCCCAACAGGGTTTAAGCCAACTGTTCTCTTAGCAGGAGGTCCTCCAGGTATCCCACATTAGGAACACCATGTAAGTGTAATAGAGCAAGCAAAAGGGCTAACAACTTGGTGAACACTCAAGTGTAGTACACAGACCAAGGGGTAGTGCAAAAAACTGGTAGTGTCCTGTACCCACAGCAAAATGGATGATGGTTAGGTATGTGTTGGAATGATGGGGACATGCAAGTAAGCATCCTTGATGTCCACAAAGTCTAGAAAATTTCCCAGATAGAGGGAAGCAATGACTGATTTTGTGGACTCCATGTGGAATTTTTGCACTCAAATGAGGACAATTAGTGCTTTCAAATCTAGTGCCAGAGCATCCTGAAAGTTTTTTTAATGTTTGCGCTGACGTGGCAAGTTGAACAATAGGAAACAGGGCAGAGGAAGAGAATGAAATTCTAGCTTGTAGCCCCTGGATACCATGTCTATTTTACCATGCATCTGAGATGCATTTGGTCTAGGTGGTCAAACAGACTAACAGATGTCCCCACACTTTAGGAAGTGGGGACGTTCTATCATTGTAGGGAGTCGCTGAATTGGAAATGGAGGACTGAAATAAAAGGAACTCTTTGTAGCTTAGACATGGGGGGGTTCCACTGGACTTGTGTTGCTAGGACGAAAGGGGGCTTTTTCCTCAAGTCGCATCCTTGATAAAGTTGTCCAGGAAGGCACCAAAAGAGAAGTTTCCTTTGTAGACCTACATTTTACCTAAAGAGTTCTGTGCATGTGCACAGACAGATGACCCATTCTGTATATAAGACAGCAATATCCAAAAGCCCATCAACACAGGAGTGTAGAGCAAAAGGCAGTTCCAATTATTTTAAAACCGAAGGATTGATTCAGGTGCTTTACTAGATGGGCTAGTCTCTTGTAAACCAGACAGATCCTTAAAGGAGAACTATGAGGTGGGTGCTTTTCACTCACCTCAGAGTTCTAGCTGACCTGTGACAATGAGACTGTCACAGGTCGGCTCAGTAGATCGGGAGGTGAGCAAACACATACCGGCGTTCGCTCACCTCTCGATCCTGTCATGTCCGACTGCGATGGCAGGGGAGGGGCTGGATGCCCCCCTCCCGCTCCGATCCTCCAGCGCTGACTGGCGGAACGGACGGAGGAGGGGGCGGGTACAGCTGGCTCTGTCTCTAGATAGGCAGAGCCAGCAGTCACTCACGCAGCTGGGCGGATCCAGACATAATTGTCGGGATCCGTTTCAGCTGCGGCGTCTCAGTATATAGGGAGCTACAGCTCGCGGTATACTGAGCCTAGGGTGAGGGGAGGACGCTAGTTTGTGTCCTCCCGTTACCCTAAGGAGAACTATGGGGAAAAGTCCAAACCCCATAGTTCTCCTTTAAACAATGAAAGATCCTCGAAAAGAACTGCCAGTGTTTTGTTAAGACAAGAGATGGCTGGGTGCAAATGGGAATGGTCCACTTCTTAGTAAATGCTTTCTCAATAGGATATTGTTCAGCAAAATAGCTTGTCAGGCTTTTCAAGGAGAGCCCAGTGCTCGAAGGTCACATTACATGTAGGCCTCATCTCCTGGTACAACCTGCAAAGTGTCACTTAGGATCAGCCGATCCAGAAGCTGCAAATCGAGCCCTCATTGCTCTACAGTTAACAAAGAATATTGATTGAGTTGAAAATATCTCGATATACTGTAAACGAAAAATTGTCAAGAGAAATGGGTTTGCTCTTTTCTGAGGAGAAAAGACATCCATTCTCATAGGACACTAGCATAAAACTGAAGCATGATGGGAATGGTAGGGGTTATATCTAGCTGACTAAAAGCTTTTCCATCTGCCAGTGTCCAATTCTCCTGTAGAAGCAGCATAACCTAGTTGTCTCAAAATTACTTCTGACCCTGTGTCCCTTAATGAACAATTAGGAAAAGCATTTGTATTTCTGTCTGTGTTCCTGTTGGAGAGCTCCCCTCACGCCATGACAGGTAAAACATCAGCTGGATAGGAAGGCCTACTTGCACACAGACTATCCTCCCTTCAGCCTATCATGAATGCCACTGCTAGACTCTTCAACCTTACCAAATGTTTAGTAGCCGCTGCCACTCTCTACCAATCCCTCCATTGGCTCCCAATAGCTCAATGTATAAAATTCTAACAAACAAAGTTATCCACAACTCTGCCCCTCTGCCTAATTCACCAACCTCTTCTCAAAATATCACCCAAACTGTCCTTACTGCTGCTCTCAAGACCTCCTTCTCTCTATCTCCCTCGTAGCTTTCTCTCATGCTCGCCTCCAGAGTTTCTTAAGAGCCTCTATTATTCTCTGGAATTCCCTACCCCAATCTGTCTCCTACTCTGTCTGTCTTTAGGTGATCCATGAAAATTAATTTCTTTAGGGAAGCCTATCTAGCCTCATCCTATTAAAAGGTACTTTTACTTCTGCCATCAACTCATTCTTCAGTTATTACCTTTTGTATCAACCTGCCCTCCTTTTTAAGTTCTCTAAGGTCTCATGAGCATGGACTTCCTAATCCTTTTGTAATTAATTGTATTGTAACTGTACCGTCTCCCTTTATTTTGTAAAGTGCTGCACATAATAGAATATTATTAATAATAAAGCAGGATACTTTTCTAATTAAGCAGTTTGGCACATATTTTCAAGTTTTAAAATTATGCAAACATAGGACTTACCAGTGGCAATATTTTACCTGTTAGACTTTGTCTCAGCATCCGCGTTCTCCTGTGGGCCTGTGGTTGCTCTTTCATCCTCTGACCGATACATGAACACAATAGATGGCTTTTCTCCAACATCTCCTCGGCTTTCACTGAACCAATGGTGTCGTTGGACTGGTGGTGGAGGAAGCATGTGGATAACTGTACCATCTATCCCCACTAGCTTACCATCATCTCCTCTGTCTTCACAGCCACCTTGACCACTTCCCTCTTTCTTCCTCCTGAAAAAGCTTTTAAAGGATATCCATCGACGTGGTTTTCCATCTGCTGGTCGACGTGGCTGCGTTGCAGTGTCAGTTGGTGAGGGGCGGTTAGTACCCACTTGTTTCCCTCGAGTTGCAAAATGTTTGTGCAGCATGCTAGCATGGTATGGTGAAGAAGTAGAACGCGGAGGTGGAAAAGGTGGAAGAGGCTCTGTTGTGGAAGACACAGTTGGGCTATCATCACTGGATAGTGCAGGAGATGTTTTGTTTAAATGAACATTCCCTAAAGTGTCACTGTGTGAGGAAAATAAAGTTTTCGGCCTGCCCAAGGAACTTGGAGGGACTTCTGGATCTGACTGGGTTTCTGTCGGACGATGTTCATCACTGCTCTGAGACTCAGGAGTAAGAGCCTCTGGTGGGGAGCGAGGTGGCTGGATGGATGCCACAATCTTAGATAAAACACGGTTCGCACTCTCTCTGGGGCAACCACCTGTCTCATGAACAGCCACATCTGCAGATTCCTCTTTTCTTTTTGTTCTTGCTGGAGTTTCTATTTCTTCATATGTATGACTTCCAGTCTGTAGTTTTTCTTTGCCTGGGGGCGGTGGAAAAACACCACCAGCACCCACAAAACTTCTGTAAATAGCTAAGTTATCATAAGCGCTAGGGTTAATAAGGATGGGCACTTTGTCAGCGCTTTTACAGCTATGGGTATACTCTGGTTCATCATGAATTATAATAGGAAAAGGTGGCATCCCTGCATTGTTGTAGCTGTTGAATTTAATTTCTGACAAGTTCGGAGAACGAACAGGTACAGTGTGGGCACTCAAACCAGCAGTAGGTGAGGTTGGAGCTGACTTATAGCAGCTTTGATTAGGTGCTTCCGCAGTCTCAGTCTTTGCAAGCTTTTGTCGAGGGCTAGTACTTGATGTCCAAACTTCCTGGTAGCGGGTAGAGCTTGGTTTCTTAATTCTTGTGTTTATACGGGAAGCACTCTCTCCAGTCATTGCAGCAGAAACATCAACTACTGTATATGGTTTGCAGACTGGTTGCTCCAAGCTCACCACACGATAAGGCTTTGCCTGAGCCATGCCAGCATCTTGAATCACATCTTGTATTATATCATCTGGCCCAAGATCCACTGCTTTATTTGTCCCTATACTTCCATTACAAAATAGTCCCCCTGAGGAGGAGGAAGAGGAGGAGGAAGAAGAAGAAGATGAGGAGGATGAGGGAGGACAAGATAAAGAATCTACCATTGAGGGATCAGGGGAAGGAGAGACGGTATTTACGTCATGAACCTCTCCAATGACCTCACAGCCATTTAGAATCTCATCATAGCTATCATCATAATCCACAGCACAAACCCTCTGCAGTGATTTTTGCCTCAGTGGCACAGTATTCCATTTCTCTCTTCTCCCTAACCTTCCTTGTACTGGAGATAAACTACCACTTTGTAAATTGGCAAAACGTGGTTGCCCTCTCATACGGATCTCCATGGCCAACAGTTCTTCATCACTCTCTTCCCAGCTTTCCCGCTCTCCTCCTTCTCCTTCATCTTCCTCATCCCAACTTTCATCTCCACTGGAGAATTCTGGGTAGCAGAAACGTCCACCATCCATTCCAATGATTGCACTCTCTTCTCCACTTACTTCTACTCTTCGAACACTTTTTTTTGCCCCACTTCCATCATGATAATTACCAGATAGACAACTGGCAGGAAGTTTTCTCTCTAGAGATCGTCTATAACACTGGTTGATACGACACAGAAAGTTTTCTCGAGCTGTACCATCTGCTTGAAGCACAGGTTCAGATGGGCTACCTAATCCAGCTATCTCCTTCAAAACTTCAGTAAGTCCACTGCAACCCACGTGATTATTATTAGAGACTGTTTGCTCTGCCCCTGTGTTGTTGTTTGTGCGATCATCATTACAAACCACAGGTGGTAGTTGGGTTCTGATGTTTGGAGTGGGCAGTGGTGATCTGGCCTGACCTTGTAATGGATGGCTGCCAGCTCCATCAACTGCTATCATAGTGGGTTTGACAGCAATTGTGGGTTTCTTGGCCACGGGAGGCCTGAATCCAGTGCTGGTACGTGGTCGCTGGCTTTGGATGACTTTGGCATGTTGTGCCCGATAGGGAGGGGGCGGTGGAGGAGGAGGAGGTGGCTGTCCAGAACCTCTGCCAAGAGCTAATAGCTGGTGCTGGCCTTTGGGCTGAAAGCAGTTCTTGCACTCTCCTGGCTTCCAGACATGCTCTGTAAATGAGCCGCAAGCTGACATTATGGCAGGTATTGCAGAGCATGGCACCAGGCCACAAAACGGAGTGCTACTCAGAAGTTCATAGATCACAAGGCAATGATGTTAGGTGGAACAAATACTTCATACATCTGTTAAGAAGAAAAATATGAAAATTAATATAGAAATAAAAAAGAAAATACACTACATCTAAATATACAATATAGTTACAGAGCACAGCAACCAACAAAATACATATGAGCAGATAGCAGTAGGTACCACAGTAATGGTACATGATATAAAAACTATTAATTTGTATAGTAATGCTTTATTTAATTTATAAACAGTTACATTATGCCTCTTTTGTGTTCTGTCATCTACCTCTCTACCAGCTGAAAGACACAGAAAAGACATTATAAATATAGATATCTCATTGTATTGATAGTTTTTACATTCAGCACAAACGCACCGCAGTCAGTTATTTAACAGGGAATGCAAAAAGCAATGTGCACAATGCAGTCAGATTCCACCTTTTCATTAGTCTGAGACACTCAAAACCAAGAAAAATTATTGCACATTAGTTGTTAAGGGATAATGCAATTTGTTCCATTGCCTTTCTCACATGTTGTACGATGTGAATTGCCAGTGCCAAACTCCTTCTCAGACTATTCTTTGCCAACCTGCGGCACAGAAAAATATATATAGCAGTCTGTAGTGCCATACTCCCCCTCACTAGTTGTCAAGTAAACTGAGAACAAGTATGTGTAATAGAAGTGCCAGTCCCTCTCTATATACACAGCTGCCTTCAGCTCCTAATTTACTTCAGCAGTCTTGCTGTCTTTTTTCCTAAACACCCTTACATGCATTATTTCCAGACCTGGAAATTCCCATTGCTTTATTTCTTTGAGCATGATAAATGGACTAAGAATATTTGCCAGTCTGGCTGCCAACATTCTTCTAGTGGTTTACTGATGCATTTTAGTGATATTTTTTTAGCCTTTGCAAAAATGTTTAACCTTTTTGTAGCGTATCAATTTACCAATTTAGGCATAACTATTTCCACTATTCATGTCGTGACTTCACAACCATCTCTTACTATTCCCAACTTAACATTCCACTTACATCCACAGAATCCTTCTCCCAGGACATTCTATTTATGACTCCATTCATGCAGAAGCATCTAGCAATCACAGGCCTTTCAGCACCATCTCTAGGACAGGCCTAAAAGCCTCATCTGTATTTCAAGTATTGCTGTATCAGCGGTTCTCTACTACTTATTTCCGTTCTGTAAGAAAGGAAGACATTAAAAGTCTGGACACTGGTAATGATTTCAACCCCCCTCACCAGTTCAACGTCCTGTCTCTGAATCACATATGGGTGTGAGAGAAAAACCTCCCCTACCAAAGTTCTGCTAACCATTGCTCTATTAACTCTTTTTTTTCAGAGCTATTTCATTACAAATGCTCACATTCATGTGGAGGATTATAGACGGAATTGTCTTAATAACATGACACTAATTGGACTTTAAAAGGTAATTGATTTACTTTGATACTCGGGAATATGTGTACCTTGTGCACAGGTGGAACTTTTTTTAGGTGCCAACAAGTTGTACTATAAGTATGTGTTGCAACATGTCTGTGCCGCAATTTGACAGATCAAGGCATGTGCCTGTGACATTAGCTAGTTTGTAGGTCTGTACAGAAATGTGACAGCACTGGGTATGTGTATATACATACGGGAGTACAGGTCCAGCTTCCCTGCCTCCCGGGCCTGGGAAGAGTTACAGGAATGCTCGGTATGTCTGGGGTGGGGGTCAGTCTGGGAGCAGGGAAAGTATGTGCTATTTACAGGACAATATGGGGGGAGGAGGCTCGCCACCCCGTCAAAGAACCAAAGAGCATCCACTGTTAGATTTTACCCAGTCCGGACTTGGAGAGCATCTCCCCTTTAACCCTCTGATCACCAAAAACTGTCAGATCCTCTATACACATTCATACCAGCTCACTGCAGATAGAATACCTTTTCAATAAACCTGCTAGTAATAAAACGCAGGTCTCAGTTACCACCAACACTGATGAACATGGACCTCCTTTACATCCTGATGCTGTAAGAACATCAGATTGTCCTCCCAGTAAAATGATATGTATCATGTCCCACACATGCAGTTCATCATTCCTCATTTTACAAAGCATCCCATGCAACAACAAAAAAAATCTACAGTATAATTAATCCTCACATAACAGAAATCTGAGAAGCAATCCACCCTTCCACTGCCAAATAGCTAGCGAGTACTCCTTGAGTGTAACACATTCTGTTCTGGCATGTCAATCCCACAAATCCATATCAAGCTACGACAATTCCAGCACTCACCAGAACAAGCGTTTGGCTGATCTGTCCCTGCTGAGCGAAGATGGTCACACTGCGCTGATCAGCTGAATATGGATGTGACAGACTGGGGTATGTATGAGACACAACTCTGTATGTGTATATGTCATAGCAATATTTGGCTGAAGGCAACCGAGCTTCATATGGTTGAACTGTCAGTATGTGACATCTCCACAAATTAGCTTGACAGTGCCGTGTGTCACAGGCTTGTGTGCATGTCTATAAAGAACAGTACCAGCATGCTGTGTGGTGCAAGGTACAATGAGCGTGTCAGAGCTATCTTGTGTGTATAATGTCTGAGCCGTGTATGTTTGCTTGCTGGCCTGTGTGTGCGTGTGTATGTGACTGTGTGTGTGTCTCACTGCCAGTGAATCTGACTCTCTCTATGTCTATCTAGTTCTCCCCCTGCAGGGAACGTTAAGAGCAGCAAGCAAATCATTTCCTGAAGGAGGAAGGCATACATCTCTTTTTCACTCTGACACACATAAAACATACATCCCCCGCACACACACACACACAATGGATGCTTACATACATATTGTGCTGGTACAAAGGAAACAGCTAAAGAGTAACTATACTTGGATTGTAATGGCATGCAGCGCACTTGCTGGATGCACAGAGAAGAAAAACCGTGTTTACCATAAAGAATCACAAAAGCAAAATAGGCTAATTTAAGGCAATGGAAAAAATAACGTATAGAGGTAACTCATAGCAACCAGATTGCCCAGCTGGAACCAAAGAGAACAATAAGAGATGATTGCTGATTGGTTGATTTATTTGTCACGTCGTCATTTCCTTTGTTACACAGAAAGCTCAGTGCGTGTAATTTTAGAACCTTAGCAGCGATCAAATTGTAGGACAAAGAGGAACAAGTATTTTACAGCACATGGAAGAACATCACAGCAGAGCCTAATGGTTATGTCAAAGCGTTTGAGGACATTAAGCGGTCTCACATCCTCATCATTCTTGGTGAGACAACTGCCCGTCGGTGCCCAATCTTACATACAGCTCTGCATATACAGTGCACAAGAATGGGGTCCAATCAATGGTTCTGGAAGTTCATGAGTCTTTTGGCCACTCAGCAGACACAGCGGTCCCTCAGAAGGTTTTCAGGTCTGACTGAACCTTTTCTGCTCTGAACATTTTTATTAAAGGCTTCCTTCCATTCAAAAGTGACAATTCCAGCTTACAGTGGATGCTTCAGAGTTGAATCACCCGCAGAGTTATTTTAACTCTCGGGGACTTTGGTGGCAGTCTACCTGCTGTAGTTCCCAGTTCTGTTCCCCTCATCTTGGAGTCTTCTAAATCATGTTTCAGCAGGGGCATTCTGTATGTATGTTTTAATGTTATTGAGCAACCTATGTTTTATTTAACAGGTCTTTATGCTTTTATATGTGTTATGTTTAAATGCGGCTCACTGAGGGCTGGTTCACACCACAAACAGTGCTTCCAGATTGGTCAGGCTCTGGAACGCACTGTATTGCACTCCGGCCAGTGTATTGAAGTCAATGGCACCGCAGCTACGCCCCCTGCCCGCACCCTAACGCGTGGCACATCGGTGCCTGCGCTCCGGTCCAGTGCGATCTGCAAAAAGAGTGCTTGCGATCAGGTGCGGGCGATCGCACTGCGGGCAGGGATCGTGGCTGTGGTGCCATGGGCTTCAATGCACTGCCATGCCCCCTCCCACCCCTGAACGCAGGGAGCTGACCAGAGTGTGATACAGTGCGTTCCAGAGCCTGACCGCTCTGGAACGCACTGTTTGAGGTGTGAACCGGCCCTTAATCAAGCCTTGGTTTCTACAGCAGGTAGTTATATCTAGCTGGCCATACACTGGTAGATTTTTGTATGAACATTCATATAAAAAATCTCTTTCCGAACATTCGATAATGTCATCATAGACTTGATGAATGTGGCTCGAAATATCATTCGATTTTAACCGTCGATTTTAGAAATTAATGGAGTTTCCTGAACAAAAAGCACAATCACTGTATGAAAAAAAGTTTCCATTCTGCTCCTTCGATTTTTCTCACCACTATGGTCGGAATCAATTGTTGAAACGATCTGAAAACAATTTTTTTCGAATAAATTTCTAACAGTGTAAACCCAGCTTTATACTATCCAAGTGACTATGCAAGGGATACTATCATGAAGTATCTTATTACTAGACATGTGCGATTCGTTTCGTTCCGAATGGAAATTCGGAAGAATTTTCGGAAATTCGGACATTCGGATGTATCCGAATTCCGAATTACAGACATAACGAATGCAAACGAATCCGAATTTCCATTTCCGAAATTCGGTAGCGGTAGTTCGAACGTTCGTTTCGTATTCTGTTCTTATTCGTTTCGTTCGTTGGAGCAAAGTGACATTAGAGAAGGAGAAAAATATTTTTTTCCCCTCGAATGTCACGAACGAACGAAACGAATAAGAAACGAATAAGAACAGAAAACGAAACGAACGTTCGACCTAACGCTACCGAATTTCGTCCGAATCCGAATTCCGAATCCGAATTGACTTTCACACCCGAATCCCGAAAAACGAAATAACACAAATCCGAATTTAAAACGAAACTGCTCAACCACTGTGGCTTGAGCAGAGGGGGGGGATATGTGACATAAGGAGAGGGGACATCATTGAGGGGCGGTATGTTTCCCCTCGCTTTCTATCCTATGTGCATGAATAGTGGAACCCTGACCAGGGTTTCGCTTTGACTTTGGGTCCGGATAGTCCAGCTCGGGCTTTGGGTCTCACCTGGATAGTTGATTGCTTGATGAATGCTTGTCCAGGTGAGATAAAAGGGGAAGGCTGAGACATGGTTTCTCTCTGGCCTGGGACTCAGACAGCCTTCTGAGAGAGCTACATGTTGGATGTGTTCAGAGAGAAAAAGAACTTTGCTGCCTGGACTGTTTTCCCAGGGAAGGTGATCCCCCATTCGAGCTATACCCCCACACTACTTATTACCCAGAATCAAAGAAGCTGCTACATTCTAACTTGCTATATAAATCTTTCTAACTACAAGTCCAGAAACTATACATCACAATCCAGATCCTGCCTGCATTTGTATCTATAACATACTGTATGTCCTGTTCTATAGATCATTGCTTGGACATTTAATGCCATGAAACATATAACTTGTCAGAATGATACGGTTAAAGTGAACATATTGAAAAAAATCTTCTGTTGCTTCCAATATTCCCTTAACAGTGAAAAAAAAATAGCGAGATCAAAGCAAAACATGCACATTACTACATAACAGGGAAATCGAGCTAGGTAATTCAAGCAGCTAAATTCTAGGTCTTAAATGAATTATAGTCTCTAATGGTGTGTACTCCATAAAAAGGGGCTCCCAGGGGTGAGATATTATTCCAGGAGATCATGGGATCCCTATGGGATCCCCCTTCCCATTACAGCCAGATCCTCTTCCCCTTTTAATGGATGGCTCATTCAAGGATACATTATACAATTACACTGTGTCACTCAGAGGAAGAAGAGGAACAAGCATTTAATAAATAATACCGGAGCTTTAATGCAAAATGGGGACCCTTGATGTCTGTAACTCAGCTTGGTCCAGCAAAGAAACTAAGGAAACATACGCAGATTAGTGAGGATTCTGAGCAAATGTTAGAACATAAAACTACATGCAAACACAGATTTGTTTGTTGTATAGTTGTATATGTTTTATAGTGTACACAGTGTCACTGTTGCAAAATGCTTCGCTTCCCTATTATTAAAGTAATATGATGAAAATATTTCACACCAAGTACAAATTACCAATTCAAGTCCTAACATACTGTATATAAGAATGATATATAAAGTCCTCTAGTCATAAAGCATAAATTATTTCCAAACAAAAGCTCACAAATGCAAATACAAAACACACAAGATAATGCACTATGCTGTAGGCCAGGTGCAAACCTCAATTCTTAAAATGAACCTTTTTGACTCCCGGCGGCAAAAGTCGCCGGGAGTCTGTTTAAACAGCCCCGATGCTGGCGACGTACACTGTACGTCGTCAGTCACGAAGGGGTTAATTAACAAGCATAACAGAGGAAGTGCAGGTGCCATACGATGCCTGTACAGTTTTCATTTTGCTGCATGAGGTTCCTGAACACCCCTGACTTTCATTATGGTAAAGTGAACCTGAACTTAGGAAACGTAGAAGTGCACTTCCTGGTATGCGAGTGTTCCTAGGCACTCCTGTGCCTACAGCTTCATAGATGTATATCCGCAGTGTGAGATTATGGCACTGGTACCTCTGACTGCTAGTCTTTGGATATCTAGACTAAGATTTGATCATGTCTCTGCTGTGCTGCTCACTGTTCTCCTTGCTGGGGGCTCTGCCATGAGCAAGCAAACCCATGCTTCTACCAAGATGGCCGCCTCCACAAAGAGACACAAGGCAGAAAAAAAGGCATGGTAAGCTAACAATGGGGACAATATCAGCTGCAGGGGACACAGTTTCAAAGGTTTGGTTCCTCTTTAACTGGCAACCATTAGGTGTCCTTTTTCAGTCTCTAATCTGTACTTGGAATATGAGAACAGGAATTTAGTGAGGGAGCATGTGGGTGATTTTTAGATCAATCTTCATACTAAAATCACTAGTATTGATTTGCTACACAGATGGAACAAATGGCTCCCTATGGTGTAAGTTATATGCACTGTATATGGTAAAAATGAAAGCACATGATCGCATAACGCTTCAAAATTGTGTGATTATTCAGTATAACATGTCACTTACTGTACATGTAGCACACACCTTAAGGAACCATGTCTGCTATCTATGAAGTGACTGATCACTACTCTTAGCAATTCATATCTAGCAATTTAGCAGCACGGCTAAACTTGCTTGTGTGCTACCATCCTAACCACCCATTCATGATCTGAATCTGCCATATTAGCAATGGGTGTTTGTTACATCTGTTTCTTGTTATGTTACAATGCTGTCACTCATGAAGCCTATTCAAAGCAATGATGTGCAGCCCATGGAGCAAGTGCATATAAAAAGGAGGTGACTGAAAGAGGCGGAAAAATACAAACAAAACAAAAAAATTAAACAGTATTTTTGGAAAGCATGGTAGTGTATGATAGTATATGGAGGCGCTTTATACATATTGCGGCAGTGCCTAGCAATGCCATGCTGTAATTTGGCCTTTTTGTCACCGAGGACTCTCAGCCAGAGGGGCTGAGAGGTTTCAGGCGTCAAGTATCTTTTCTTTTCAAAGCAGCTCTTTCCAGATTTTCTGGATTTTGCACAGGATCCTAGAACCTGGAGATCTCTTAGACATGGCAATGATGAAATCTCCATTCCGGGGTCCAAGTTTTCATAGTGACCAGCACCTACTGATTGCACCGGTGTGCATA